ATAAAGGAAAAGGAAAAGAACAGAAATATATGAAGTTAAGATAAAATAGAGAAAAAAACTAAATAAAAACTAAATAATTGAAGAAGAGTAAATTGGGATTGGTACAAACCAAACCATCATTAGGAATGAGAAAGTCCTTCCTCAGCAAGAAGAAAAAAAAGAGAAGAAGGGTAGGAAATTAAAAAACCAGATAAACCCTGAAGGGAAAATGAAAAACATGAAAATGGTGCGCGAGAGGGAAATAAAGCAAGCAAAAGCAAATTCATCATCGAGGTCGCTAAGTGGTATTCGTGTCACATCGCATGGTAAGTAGAAATATCATGAGAAAAAGGGTAAGTTAGAGCACGAGTCGTAAAAAGGAAAAGTAAGGGGTGGCCCGTGGGCAGTTGTTAAATGTGGTTTCTCGATCAGATCGTTAAAATAAAAGTGATACGACAAAAACTCCTTCATGTATAGATCCGTGCGTACGTGTATCATGAATCAGTGAGGGAAATTCAATGTCATATCGACAAATGGATAGAACTTGTTCGGGCGCTGCGGTTATTCGAAATTTATTATTGTTGTTTCGAATATGGTTTGTTCATGAGAGCTATTTCGCGCGCGATGGTTACCCAGTCAAGATCTCTGCGGATTGGCTCGTGGCGTTTCTGCCGGAGGAGTTCGTCCCATTTGAGGAGCTCGTAGCTAGAGGGAGAGTAATATTAGTATTATAAGTTTAGTAGAGTGGTTGAATGGTGGCGGATTAATGGATGGGGGGGTGGAAATGTAGTACTAACACAAATCGGAGGTGCGGTTGGATGATGACGTTCAAACGCCTAGCACGAACGAAGCAGCTATTTTCGGAGAGTTAGTTGAGATCTATCCGCCGCAGAGTTACTCTACTGGGAAGAAGGCAGGTGGTGGTTACATACTATGCCCTAGGAAACGATAACCCCTCACACGCCATCACCTCAGCAATGCAGATGGTGGCAGATCTAGACACGCCAACGCGACAATGCACCAAAGTCGCCGTACAGTCCTTTTTCCCTTTCTCTAAATAAATTCACAAAATGTATTAGCGGCACAAATGTGCAGGAATAAAAAGGGGTCAGGGGAGGGAAGACAAATGAAATCCCGTAATCTTTCTATCAGCATCGACTCAACTCACCAATAAACTTTAGACAACGGTCAAATTGCTGTGTCAACGGATCTATGCCATTATCTTGTACTTCGTTTATCATCATCAAACTTTCCGGCCCCCATTTCTCGATCTCTGACGGCGGCCATGAGACGGATTCTCCAATGCTAAGTATCCGTCTAATGCCCAAGGCGCGGAGGAGCTCTGGGTTGTTAGCATGCGTTAAATTTCCCAGATACATGTACGGTAGAATGCGACTGGGTAATGACCCATCCATTCGTGAGAGCCAAGCTGGTTCGAGGCTGTTTGTGATGCTGCGATTACGGGCGGCGGGGCTTTCAAGCAATAGCCTTTGTTGAATGCTAGTTAGGAATGTGACGTCTGAGGGATAGGCAAAGAAATTCCGCTGCTTCTCGCAGTGCAGTCTTAACCACGCCTCATGCACAGGGGCTCCCTCAGCAAACATGAAGTAGGCAATAGCTAGTAGCGAGCTTTCGGTGTACCCGTCTCCGCAGTGGATTAGAACCTTGCGAGGTTTTGCAGTGAGCTCCACCATTGGAATATCGCCGTCTGAATCAATTGGTTGTTCAAGCCGCTCAGGGTGGGTAATATGATATATCCATCTACAAGTATCAATGAGGTCGAAAACCTCTATCTGGTTGAATGAGGCTAGAACGCTCCCCGACGACGGGAATTCCAATCTCTGTGGTCCATCATCCATTTGTCTTGATATTTTTGAGAGATATCGAATATTAGGAATATTTGCAACATCGTGAGTTTCGATGAAAACATCAAATCCTAGGTCTTCAAAGGGGCGTTCGTTGATATCTGGTGTAGGGCCCTGCCAAACGTTTGTTGTTATCTCCGAGGCTTCGGCCATTTTACACATTTCCAACCGTTCCCAATGAACTAATCTACATGTTAGTAAAATCTAAGCTGCCTTTGGCAGGAAAAATATGAATTCCAGTGCTTACAGAAATCCATGACTCGGCCAGTAAGTTGCCCTTGGCAGTTTACAGCAATCAATTCAGGGTGTCTCTCCTCTACCTCATTGAAAGAACCTACAATTCCTATTAATATTCCGCACACCTTTTCTTTTCTTTTCACTTTTTTTACAAAAAGTGGAGATGAGGACGGAAAAGATGAACTCACTCTGGAGAATAAACGTATTAAACAAGGAATTCTCCTGTCCCGGATCAAATCTTCTTCTCCATTCCTTCTGTGCTCTAGCAATTCCGTCAGCAAGCTCGAGAAGATCGCTCCCATTGGCACCATCTTCACCATATACAATGATATCCGATAATGGCGCTAATTTCGCCGTTTGTATATGGAAATTGCGCACGGAAAAGCCTTCTGGGGGATCCGCATCAATGAACGTAGTGCCAGACTGGGAGAGGATCTCTTCTGGTGCAATAGCCCCCTTAATCCTTGACCTAGACAGATCCCCGCCAGCTTTAACAATTGCTATGGATCGCAAACATCGCGGTATGCGTCTAAGTGACCTCCTTCTTGAAACAAAGAAGCCTAGCTGGATATGATTGTCCGGATGCAGGCCGTGTAGCCAGGGAAAGACTTGTTTGGGGTCTGGCAGAGGGCGAGAGGCCAGCTCATCTAATGCATGGGCCAATGTATCTGCATCTATCGAATATACTGGAGGATTGTCGCACAGCTTGGGGAAATGATTTGGGGGGTATAGGACACAATTGCCTTGGAGGGGAGTGGAATGTTTGAGGGTTGGCGAGGCTGGTGGGGTTGTGGGTATCTTTGAGCTAGCCGGAGCGGGCCCTGGAGGGCAGACGGGGAGATGTTTGTTGGGGACTGGGGCTTGACTATGGGTAGAGTTGGCACTGAGGCTCAGAGCTGAGGTGATCGGGGGTGGAGATGAGGAATGTCGCACTGGCTGCTGTTGTACAACGACTGTAGCCATCATGGCGCGGGAACTTTAGAAGAGGGGGATTCTGTTCGTTGTCGTAGTGGTAATTGTTGTCGTCGATTGACGGAGGAGTGGTATTCGGGCGGTCTGAAATTTGTCCGTGTCGACAGAGGGAGTGGGCGAAGTGCGCGATATGACGATTACATCGTCTGCAAACTTGCCCTCGATATGATAGTTTCCTCTTTTGAACGCACCGTATGTAGTAAACTAGGGAGAAACCAAGACGCGACGGGGCGATTCCTTTTCCTTATCCAACGAGCGAGAAATAAGGGTTAGGAGATTTGAAGCTAGAACGAGTTCATATGTAGATCCGTCTGTTCCTGTAATATATGTGTGTAGTTAGAAGTGCGATGTTCGGTATTGCCGGATGAGATTGAGATAGAAAGAAATCCCCACTGACAAAGTAGCCAGAGAGGCGTACCAAGCACTATTACAATTGCCAAGTTGAATTGGACCTGAAGAAGACAAGGCAGGGGATTAAGGTAAAGAGGGCATTCAGCAATCTGAAAGTTATCTGTACAGCCCAAGGACGAAGAGTTCCAACGAGGTGGCAGACCAACAATACCAGATAAGATAGATAGGTAGATAGATAGATAGATAGATAGCTAGATAGATAGATGCCTTAGGAGGAGGATGGCGAAGAGAGTGAGAATGGAGAAGTAGGGAGAGGCGTAAGACACAAACAGATCAGACAGGGATAGATGACGTCGAACATAGGAGAGAGGCGGCGGGGCGACGATGGGGGGATGGGCGGGATGAAGAGAAGCGGAGCATGAAAGGAGAGGAGGAGAGGAGACGAGAAGGAGACGAGAAGGAGGTTGATAGAAAACTGGGGCCGTGGAGGTGGGAGATGGCGCTGGGTTACCGAGTCCGTACCAGAGTTACACGCCCAGCACTCCCCATAAACCACCGCTTTGTATACCTTCTCATACCATAAATACAATACCAGAACCCTCATTGATCTTCCCACCCCGCGTCCGGGGGATCTGCCCCCCCATCGATCCCCGCCGCCCAAGGACCGTGACGGGGCCCTGTTTGCGCCCTTGTTTGGGCCTTGCTTGGGCCTTGAACTCTTGGAGGCCTTGGGCCACTCCCCGGCACCAACGCCATCAAGTTAGTGGCCTTTTAGTGGCCCGTCGCCAATCAGTGGCAATCAACTCCCCGGAGTCCCCACGGCCAGAGCCGAGACCCAAGCTAACTATTAATGAACAGCGAACCTTTGCAGGCTTTTGCACCCGCAGACAACCAATCGAACAACCAAACGATCTTGGGTCTTATCACCACCGGCGGCCCCCGGCAATTGGCCAATCCAACGGCCCTAATGGGGGCTAAACAGTCGAACCCCAAGCTTGGAAAACCCACGTCCCCAGAGGAGGTTTTCTTATTCGTTGTTGTTTTTCCTGATTTGGTAGAAATCGCTTTCCGCGAGTTTACCCACCCGTTGACAGCAGAGGGAATCAACCTGAGTTTTGAGGGTTCAAGATGTTCGTTCGCTCTGCATCCTAGCGTCAGCCATCGATGGGTTGGGGGAACTTGGGGATGCACCAGTGAAGTTGTCAGCCAGCCCTCCCTGTATGCAACATAGTGTCAAACCTGGTTGTGCTGGATGCCAGTAGGTATGTACTGTACATACATGTAGGAACAAGGGTGAACTGCTGCTCTGATGCCTTCGTTTTTCAGGGTCCAATGAATGTGCGATGTGCTTGAGCACTTCGATATTTAGAAAATCCCGTATAGGTATAGATATATTCACCATGATGTGCGTAGTGCTTTTCAGGCAGTTAGTTAATAGTTAATCTGAACTTTTGTCTCACCTTGCTCTTATATATTCTAATTCTAATTCTATTGAACTATATCCATGTGTTTTCAGGACATACAGTCTGCCCTCCCGATTAAATATATATAAATATATATATATTATATATATATATATCATATCCAACCTGAGTATCACCATCTTGGGTTATACACCACGAGCTGGCGCTGGCTACCCATGAGAATATGTATTCAGAGCAGGCTGGCAGCCCATCAAGATGAGCATGCAAGACATACCCACTGCTAATCTTCCCCCGCCTCACCATATCCCAAGTCTGCTTATCCGGAATGCCATACACCCCCGCATGATACCGCTCGTCAAGAACAATATCCTCCTCGGTAATCTGTTCAGCACCCAACCCAATCTTCTCAGCCGTATCCTTCGCAATGCGCAGAACCTGCGCGCGCGTCTCCGCCGGCTTCGCTGAAGCGTCGATGCCAACCACCTTCCTCCTCTTCCCGCCATGCGCGCCCTTCTTCGCCTCCTCCTCCGGATACAGCTTCTCAATCAACTTAAACCCGGCAACCATCCCCGCCACCGTCGACCCCGTCACCGCACACACACACCGCACACACACACCGCACACACAATAACGGTCTCTACACTCCTCCACCAACCCCATCGCGGTGGACTTATGCTTGATGCCGAAACCGGACTTGTTAAGACGCACATCCGGCCCCCATCAGCCTTGAGAGCCGGATGTTGCCCACCGTCTCATAGCCCGGGTACTCCCAGTCGACCCAGTGCTCCGGGTGCGTAGACCCACGTGCGCAGCTGCCGCGGCTACCTGCCGGGTATGGTTGCTTTGGACCGCCGATGCTGACGAGGGTATCGCAGCGCTGGTCGACGGCGTCGGCGACGAGATATTCAAGTTTACGGGTTTTGTTGCCGCCGTAGGCGAGGGCGGAGTTGAGATCCTCTCGCTTTGCGTAGATTTAGATTGATACTTTGTTGTTGTTGTTGGTAGTGATGCGGGGTAGGAGGTGGATTGGGGAGGGACCGAGGAGGAAGGGGTTGGCGGGGTATAGAGGCGAATTTGTCTGGGAGGGACATTTTTGTTGCTTGCCACTTCCTTCTGTTCGTTTTAATTGATGATGGGTATATTGTTTTGGCATCTGAGGTTTGCTTCACTGTATCCATGTACACGTGCATGTATAGTACATTACAATTTGGAAAGAGGGAGAGCGGGGGATAGGACAGTATAGATTATTAGCTAGTTGCTTGATAACCCCCTCTCACGCTCTGGCTCTGGTCCAACCAGTTAACCCCCTGAAGAGAATGGAGACTCTAGAGCCTGGCCAAATAGGGTTGCCGAGGGTGGGTTGTATAGGCACTCATTGTCGGTAGATAGTAGATCTTCCGCCCCTCAATATAGGCACGGCATTGCCGGTACGATGTACTATGTACGGAGTACATGTACCCGGAGATCATTTCTTGCCAGCTCGAGCTTCTCGAGCTCATCTGGGCTTGTTGAGCCAAAGCACGGGACACTCAGGTTTCATGTTGCAGAAGTCAAAAGAGAGGGCTGTTTCGAAAGTTCTTCGTGTGCATCAGAATGCGAGCCGCTGACATTAAAAGTTGCACTTTATACGACAGAACGTCAGGGGGGTTGGCACCATCAAAAGACCACATTGCCGCTGCGCCCCTCCCCGCCTAGCAACACATTTCCCAAACCACATTGAAAGGGACCCCTTTGGACCTTTTCAAATGTTACGCATCCATCAATATATGGAAGAAGGCCTGAGGGCTATGTATCTGCATAGGTGGTTTCCTTCACCTTCCCTTTCCTTCCTGAGTTAAAATCTCGCGATCGTTGGTGGTGCGGGACGGGCTGGTGCAGCTCCAAGAACAGAATGCCAGCCATGCTTCTGAATACGAATCAAGTTGGCAAAGTGGAGGCCTAAATGGCAGCACTCTGCATTCCCAAGGGACGGTCGTTTTCGCCCCTTGTGGCCTCATTTCTGGAAAATGACTCTGGCCTGAAGAAATACGGCTCCTACCACCCTGCGGTTGTTGTTATCTCCCAGGACACATCCATGCTATACGAGCCAATCAAAAAGGGGGCTGTGAAGGTGCATGGCTATTGAACCATCTCCTGACGCTTCGGCACCATTTTGCCTCGTGTCATTCCCGCGTCGACATTGAGCTTCCAGGATGTGATGTTCGTGTTGTTGATAGTGGTATGCATGAGGCAGGTCCACTTCGCTTCTCATAGCTGAGCCATTGAGTAGCCCTCAGCACTGCAATTTAGGAGAGAAGACGGGGAAGAGAAAAGGTATATAATCGGCCATGATGCCCGCATATTTGGGCACTGGCTTCCAGTTCAGAAGGTTGAAATCGACACCCACCCATATATTACATTTTTTACGTTAAGGCCGAAGGGGGAAAGCCAGACCGCACCTAGTATATAAACCCTTCCTCTCGTTCCTATTATAAAGTCCTTAGCTAACCTTCTTGGAGAAGGTCGAAAAAAACAAGAACCGGAGCCATCTATACACACATATTCCAGCAAGAAAAATGAAGATTTCCGTCATCGCAACCGGGCTTTTGCTCGCCATCGCATCCACCACCGATGCCTGGAGCATCCAGCTCAAATCCAGCAGCGGCAAAAAACTCAAAATGCACGGCAGGGACTTCACGAACGGGAAGTGCATTAACCTGAACAAGGCCTTCTCCGCCAAAAGCGTCAGCTTCAATCCTGCGACGAAATGGCTTCCAGATCCCAAAAATGTATATTTCTACAGTGGGAAAGGCTGTGAATACAACAACGGCAAGCTTTCAAACAAGCTGAGGAAGTGGACTTGGAAGAAATCTAGAACCATCCGCGCCTACCAGCTCACCAAGGGATCGAGGAGACGAGACATCGACGGGGAGGATGTGGACGGTGACGATGTCGAGGATTACGTTAACGACGATTTTGACGACGGAGATCAAGCTGTTGATTTGCACGGTGGGGATGGTGGGGATGATGGGGACGACGGGGATGACGGGGATGACGGGAGTGAAGGGGACGATGGGGATGATGACGGCGACGACGATGATGATGGAGATGATGGAGAAGACGGTTTGGATGGTGGCATGGGATAAGCACCGCCGCTATGAACCCTTTCACCTTCTGTTGTATACTTCCTGTTCCTCTGTTTGACATATATGTTGTGAAGAGAGAGAGTTTTAAGAATGTAAATAAGACCTTCCAATTTTTAAGATTCTTTATCAACGGTGTCTCTTAGATTTACCATATCTTCATAGTATCAATGTTGAGGTACTTAGCTCTCAAAAACTATGCCACGCTCTGAAATCTGTTCTGAAAACCTGAAAACAATGGAGGGCAGTGTTGACAAGCGATTCACGGCTAACCAGGGGACTATGAACCACTCCGTTGCATCTGAACGATGTACAGCTTTTTCCTACTCTCGTATATTCTGTGCTGGATAAGAAATTCTCATACTTGGAACACTCCAAAATGCCATTCCACACCCGACGGAACGTGGTGGGTGACTGACGATCGACGATATCGCGTTGTGGGGAGATCAGGGGTTTTTATACGATCTACACAGCAGCCCGAGAAGCCCATCTTAGGTATCGCCAGAACTTGTTCAGAGTGTCAGTAGTAGTTCACCGTAGCATGCCTACATTGCCGCTGAAGATAGGCTGTAGCGAAGACAAGTGCTCCCCTGAATAGTTAATACCTAATCGCGGATGGGTATGGTGAGGGATTCATACATGGAGCAATCGTTTAAGCTTGGCACGGTGGAGATCACATGACAAGCACGCCAAGAAAATGGAGCTCGATGGATCGATCTAGACATGGAGATGACCACGAAGCCCTTTATTATACCCGGTCCACTACGCTGCGTATTGGGATGAAATTGAAGGATACTCATTTTAATGATAATCACTGATTAGATTACTTTCTCAGAAGGTTTGCAAGCGCAGCAAACATGTCGTCCCTCTTTCAAAAAGACTCTGAGAGGAACCAAGACGACAAGAGGAATGGCGGCGATGAGGTGGAGGAGGATGACTACATGTCTATGACCATTGTTGAGCCTCCTAAACCTCATAGGCGCAAGGAAACATACAGTGAAATGCGGCGCCGGAAACAGAGAGAGGTTCGTTAAACCCTATCAGTGTTTTGAAATACCCTTTATTGTTATTCGCCCTTGCTCATTACATCGGTATTTTTGGCCATAGCGAACAACACTACCTTGGCTTCCGTATACGCGTCTTGAATGAATTACTGACAGCGTAACCGCGCCTAATCCGCAGGCTGAAGCCAAATCTCGCGTCCCTTCAAAAGCGGAGATTGCTGCAGCAGAAGCTGCTCGAAGGGAAGCCGCGCTGTCTACCAGCTCGCTTGACCCTTCGAATAAAGGTTTCCAGATGATGGCGAAACTAGGGTTTAAACCTGGGACTGCACTTGGAAAGGACCGTTCCCCCGAATACCCATCCGGTATTGATGAGTGGAATCGGCCGCTGACAGAGCCGCTGAATGTGGTGGTTAAGGAGGACCGAGGAGGCATAGGAATGGATAGTGAGAAAAAAAGAAAGATAAGGGAGCAGGCCGAACTAGACACGAAAAGAGCCAAAGTTGAGGAAGGTGATTTTAGAGAGCGGGTCAGGCGTGAACGAGAAGAAAAGAGGACCGAGGCCATGTTCAGCGCCGCGCAAAAAGTCGCCGAAAGATTAGATGCTGAGGAATCTGAACAAGAAGAGGAGAAGCAAGTGGATGGGCAAGATCAAAGAGAGGATTCGCCCAAGGAGTTTGTGCAAAAAGAGGCCAAATTGAATTCTACTCCACTACATCCATCTGCTGCTTCAAGCAGTTCTAGGCGCCAAACAAAACCAACGTCGCAAATCAACATACTCTACCGCGGCTTAGTCCGCGCCCGCGAAGAGAACTTGCGTAACCAGCAAGCTCGCCGTGGACTTTACCAATCGCTCTCTACTAGAAACCCAGCGCTCATACCAAACCTGGAAAATCTTCCAACATATAGCGAGTCCGATTTGGATGCAGATGATAGGCTTGCCCTGGGCCGAACAGCAGAAGGCGAAATTGTTGAGGTTGAATCAGACGAGGATGAAGATGAGGAGCTGAATGAGTTCAACGCACTAAGTCCCCAGGAACGGCTATCCAGATTGGTGGTGTACCTGCGCGAGAAGTATCGGTACTGCTTCTGGTGCAAGTATCGCTACGAGACTGATGAAATGGAAGGCTGCCCTGGTTTAACAGAAGATGATCATGATTGAGTAAACATTCCTGGCTATATCTTGTATTCGATACATGATACCACTATATGCGTTCTTCGTCATGCTTCTTCGGTCGCGAAGTTGCATTCAACAGATGCTAGCGCATCTACTGCCGTTCTATGTTCGCAGCGTCTAAGAGGGATGCGACCAAGAAGAGAACGCATTGATATCTCTTTCCTTCCCACTGCCCTTGGACGGCTTATATTGTGCGCATGCTCTTTACGGTCATCCTCGATTGATCTCCTATCATTCTCTCTCCCCTATACGAAGTGCAGAACTACCAGACTTTTTGAACCAGTTCTGTGACTTGTTACATACGAGGTAATAATCAGACTGGGAGCGTTATGCACTTAATGGGACACCAAAAAGTCTCAAGACAAAACGGGAGACATCCTTGCCACGAGCTTCGAGTTCTACAACCGTCAAGAAACGTTTGTTATTAAATGGAGGGGTTAGATAAGCGACTGCAAAACCTGCAGTGAAAGTAACCGCTCGGATACAGCCCAGACATGACACGATCACACCCTCACCGATTCCTTTTAGTTTCATCTGGCACACATCGATCTTTAGAGCGTTCATGGCTCTTTTCACGCGCAACGCGAATTTCTTGCCTCATAACGAATCTCGCCGATCAGTCTAGCCATATTTCTTCCCCCGTCGATCATTCAATCGTACCACAGCATTTACTGTCTACTCCGTTAAGCTTTGGCTCACTTTGATTGGTTGCTCGCCTCAATTGGTCCTCGCTTAACATGTTGGCTGGTACGGAACGCCTAGATTGGCAGATACTATTACGCGAGGAATGATAGGAATGCTCGGGCAGGAAGCGCTGGAAGAACTTTAGGAGCTGAGCATCGCAAAGTAACGTGCTTGCGAATGAAAGAAATGGCCGAAGAGTCTCGAAATCTAGAAACAAAACTAGCATAGGAATATATGGGAGAAAGATCTATAGGTTCTGTTTCTGCCTCCCTTTGTGCTTGCGCACACTGATTGTAAACGGGACGGGTGCAACAGGTCACAGTATCCATCGACCTTCCACTGTCCCACTGGTTCGTTCCAAGACAGGACAGGAGGAGACGGCCCTGGAGGGGCGCGAAGAGCGGAGATATCTCTCCGCATGAAGAATAGGGCAGGGGCTAGAGGTTTCAATGTTGCCCTTGTGTACATGTACGTGTTTCTCGATCTCGAATTTGTCCATGTATGTCATGTACATGTACATACATTACATGGACTTCAGATAACTGGCGCTGTTCCTAGTCGCTTGAAATCAGTTAGTGCCGAGGAACCCTCTACTGCATTGGAATGTTATACGCAGAAAGGGTTTGGAGGGAGAAACCTACCACCATTCGCACCGACGCTCCCAGCTTCGTTGCCAGATGGCATGATTGATCATTATCATTTCCCCCCGCTTTGTCCTAGGGTTTTGAGTATCAAGAGACAAAGGTCGTTGTCCCACGTCTGTTGCAAATAGAGTCTGAAGATTGAACACTATATGCATTTAGTGTTGCATGCACAGTCAAGATACAAGACATAAATGAGGGGATGGACAGGTTCCCCCTCTTATGGGTAATTGAATTTCTATATCATTGCACCCCATACCTCCTCAGTACTCCAGTATAGTCCACGCTTGTTGAGAAGACTGCAAGAACGGAGCTGCTATGGACTGGAAACTTATATGCGAGCGGCGACTGCCTATGTAGTTAAGGTCGGGAACGCAAGAAAGGCATGTTAATACTAAGCAAAAAAGTATAAACGAATGGAAGGGGGTATAAGTGGGTACATTTGTAAACAAGTGTCCAAGGGTACGTAATGGGCATGGGTCGGATACGAAAGTGTGAAGGACCAGCGCAAAAGAAAATCCCCCAGAATAAAGAGAAAATAAACGAAATAAGGCAGTAGTAGTATTATATAACTTTTGAGAACAGTGGCAAATGGACGTGCGCAGGGTTCCATGCTCACGCCATGCGTCTCTTTTGACAAGATCAACCGGATCACCAAAACGCCAACAAACGCCCCCCTAAAAGATAATAAGAATCCGAGCAAATTCAAATGGGGTTGGAGCAGTGACAGCAAATATGGCCGTTGCTGTCGCATATGCCATCATCATTTGTGTTTTGGCCTGGGTTCAGCCAACAAATTGTCCCTGCCCTGACCCCCGCTTCTGAATTGCTTTCTACCTCCCTTTCTTTCCACCCCCTAACGAATTAATTGGGTAGTAATCAGTCCTCATAAGTGGGAAGACAAATAGAAGGAAGATACGTAAATTGGGATTAAAACAAGAATCCAACAGAAAAATAAAGAAGCAAAACGGGAGAAAACCCACAAGAATATGCGGAATTGCTTCAGGCACTCTCTACACTCTCCAGCGCCGCCACGAGGCGTTCCATAAGTTCTTTCAGCGAACGCCTCTTGCACTTCTGCATCGTCTGCATGCAATCTCCACAGATCCGCAGACAGCAGAAAGTACATCGCCAGCGGATCAACTGGTCGTCATTTAGACATGTCATGCATGGAACGGGGTATATGATATTATTTGATGGCGATAAATAGCGGTGGGATTGGTAGCAGGAGAAGTGTATTTTCGTAAGGGGCGGAATGAGGTTTTTCTTCAACCGAGGCTGCTTCCGAGGGGCTTCTTTGTCGTCTTTGGGGGTTGAATCCGGCGTGATTATTTTTACGGTAGGTGTGTCGCATTGGCTTTCGCTTTTGACTGTGGGTTCTGTAACCTGGGTGCTGGTGCTGCTATTGCTACTGCTATTGATGCTGGTGGCGCTGGCACTGCTGCTGGCATCACTTGCAACTCGCACCGGGGGAGAGGGTTTATTGAAGCCGTTCATCTCGTTTGGCCTGTTTTTGGTCCCCTCTTGCGGATAGGGAGGTAGTGGCTTCGGAGAACCTGACGGAGATGGTGTAATGCTCCTAGAAGATAAGTCTGTAGGAATCGATGGTGGGATGAAGCTTCTTGATTTCCTGATAATCATAGACTGGACGTGAGGATGAGGGTTGTGTTGAGGTCTAGGAGGAGCGTAAGGGTTCTCCAACCGTGTGCGCGGCCTATCGGGGCGTCCAACAGGCAGGGAATCGGCGAATCTGATATTGGTCGTCTGTAATGATCCGGTTCGAGACGGGTATTGTCCTTCTGAAGCAGATCGCTGGGATGAAACAATCGAGAGTTCTGAAGTGTCCATTCCAGGTGTTAACGAGCGCCTGTATCTGCGCGAAAGCAGTGCTTCGTTTGAGGAAAGCTTTAGATCATGGCGGGCAAGCCGATCGTTAATGCGCTGCATAACTAGGTTGCGATTTCTTTCTCTTTCTCTTTCTGCTTTTGCTTACCAGGGCTGGAATTGATCTTGTTCCTTCGATGCAAGTTGCAGGAAGGTACGATCAAAGAATTTTGTTATCTCGATCGGAGAAGGAATTGCACATCGCTCGTGGTGTCGCGGTGCCTATAACACTCCGCATTGAGAGTCCCTATCAGGAACACAATGTGTCTCAAAACAGACCGTTGTGGTGAATGCAACGGTGAATCTGTACTCCGTACAACAAATTGAATATCAATCATTCACGTATTTCCTGTGTACACAAACTCCACAGGGCCAGGCCAAGTCTGAATCTTGTTATCCTTTTCGGTACTTATGAACAGCCAGGAACAGATAGGATCGAAAGATATTTGGGCTTGTACCTGGGCCTGATCGATCTGACACTAATCCTTGCAACCTGCAAGGATTTGCGGCTGACGGGGAAGAATGACAACATTAAACTGATGTTCAAAATTAGAGGCCGTAATGTCGGATTGACCAACCTTACTGTGGCTCAGTAGTGCTAGCAATGTGGCCGGATGCGATAGTACGTGATAGGAATGGACAACCACCAATCTGGATGACAAGAGGCAGAAAATGGCTTGTTCGACTTGGGCATTTTGCCACCTTGGAATTGGGCATGACGAGACTGAGAATGTAGCGAGGCATGCGTGTTAGGGCTCTGGAAAATGGGAGGAGAAAAGTAGTCGGCCCATTAGCTCCGACGCCACTGGGAGGGGAGCATCGGCGCTAAAAATGACTTGACGCCTCTCGGTGGAGTGAAATGGATCAAAATCCGTTCAATTGTCCATCGTCTTTGAACATCGGGGAGCTCAAAGATTCATTTCATCAGATCTTGTTGCCTTCTGCAGGTCTGTCCAGTGGAGTTCCATCTTGCATATCAATGGTGTGCGGCCATAGACCATGCAAGAATCAGCGGCAACAGAAAAAGAAAAGAAACCCTCAACGTGTAGTAAAAAGTGAAATAAGTGGTTAAACCAACCAAGCCAATTGTGCTTGGGGTATCCGGAACCAAGTCGTTCAATTTAAGCGTTGCAGAAGCAGAGTTGTCTGTCACTAGTTTGTGACCCGAGTGCGAAGCTGAGAGACGTAGGAAGAAAAAGGGGAGAATGGCGAATCCCCACGCCCCGTAACTTTTTAAGTCCTGCCAGCCATGATACGTGGACCAACAAGCAGCAAGCCTTCAGATACATAAAAATTATATGTTATCGCACCGCCAGTTGCTGGGTGTCGATCACCATGCCTCTAGCGAGTTGTTCACCATACATAGGAGACAGGATCTCAAATTTGGCGGGTGTTCGATTGCGATCTGTGTCAGTCAGTTCAGTGTGGCAGGCCTTACTCGCAACCCCAGAAGGAAGGGCTTGATGACGTTGCCCATTCGCCAAAGTAGTCTTGACATTGTTCTCATGCGAAAATCCAGTCACGAATTCGTCTCGTGTGGGAGCTAAAATCACAGTCTGGACGGACGGATTCCAACACGTTCTTAGCTGCATGGACGCACAAATATTTCAGGCAAGGCTGAGTAATATGATTATTGCTCACTAAGCATTTGTTCTTTTAAATATTGAAACTAGCCGACAGCGTCCTTGCACAGATCGTATCTAAATTTAAATTTAAAAATTTAAACACTACTGGCTGACCTGTTGCAGATAAATGGCGTTGCCAGTCAGACCTAGGTACGGAGTACATGTACAGTACATAGCTTTAAGGGAGAGAGAAGGGAGAAATAGAGGACGCGCCGCCTAACCTTGCTTCATTGCTCCTGGAAGTAAAATATGCCTACTTACTACCTCTATCATAGTCTGTAAGATGGGGTGTAGCCACTTAGAGCATCTCATTTTCATTGCTGTTTTAAGCTCATTCATCCTGACTATGTGATGCAAAATCTACATCACTTTTATTTTAATAATAATATATTTTTCATATACATGTAACTTAGTTGTCATATTTAATAGAGAGGAAGTGGTGGTGGTGGTTGATTGCGGATTGTCGCGCGCTAAAGAACGCCGAAGCGAAAACCCGCTGACATTGGCTGGAAACGGTAAAAGCACAACAAACGGTCAACTCCCAATTTCTGCTGCATCTATTTAACTGCCTCCTGTAGAAGACATTATTTTTGATGCAGGAGTTTACAATGAGTGGTTAGGCTTATGAATATGCCTATAAAGTACATATTTTATTTACAAACACTATCGTCTTTAAGCATCTATCCTCCTTTTTGAGATGGTTCGCGCCCAACAACACGCGGAGACAGCAGGACCGCCTCAATTCGCAAAACCAATCCTGCAATATACGAAGACTCGCCAGGAGGCGCTCGGGATTCGACAAGCTTTGACGCTTTATCTGAAAGCACAGATCGAATTTGCGGGTGACTCTTCAGGGTCTCACATCAGCCTCTGCGCCCCGCATAATGCTACTAATGTGAAGCGCGTGCCGCCAGAATTGAACAATGGCCTCCGCGCTCAGTATCTCAAGGCATTGCAGGCCAACCTAGTTGCGAAGAGAGAGTATAACAGTGTACTTCAGGAAATAGCGTCTCGGAAACAAGATATACACTCTCCAGCATCCGCTGGCGGTGAGGGTCTAGAGGAGAAAGGCGCAGAATTCCAAACGTACTTGGGACTTCTACGAAGCCGAAGAGAGCATGGAAAAATACAAATTTTCCAACACTACCTAGAGGAGCTGAACAAAATGGATGCCGGGCAAGCTGGATATCTTGGGCTTGCTAAGGAGCAAGCTACATCTCGTCAGGCGGCTCAGAACTTGATGGTCCATGCTAATCCAGCCTCGGGGAGCGCAGGTGGTAATGGATCAGATGTCGAAACCCTTCTTAACAACTTGGAAAGAGCAGTACTCCGTGCGAAGAGTCAGGCGGACGTTGAGAAGAGGCTCCTTGAGAAGCTAAAAAGCCAACACCTGGCTGAAGATGTGAAATCCGTTCCGACAAGTAAGAAGCTAGGCGCGTTGAGACGCACGCATGCGGAGCTGGTACGCTGGGTAGAAGAGAAGCTAGTTATGTCTTCCTCAATCGATGAACAAGGCCCTGTTGAGGACCAAACCGCGATCGACGCGTCAGACGCTGAAAATATTCGGGTCTTGGAAGAGACTAAATCCTTGATTCAGGAACAATATACTGCCTACGTCAATGCTCGAAAAGCTTTGCTATCAGTTGTATCTACGGCGTCTCAACCTCTCCCAGCTGGTCCCCAGACACCACAACGCCGACTTCAGCCTCGGGAGAATCAACAGAATACAGCTACGCCGGACCTTACTTTATTATTCCCATACGTATCGGAAAATTTACTGCCATTATCAAAAGCCCAAAAAGCACCTTCAATGCAAAAGTCCTATTTATCGGCTATCCTTGCTAAAGAGAAGTGGACTACATGTCGAATGCTAGATCGTCTACAGGAGGAGAGCCATCTGCTTCCGGAATATCCCATACTCGGGAGACAGCCACGATTCAAGAATGCAGTTGCCGCGATAAACCGCCGGTCCCCCCCTCTGGCCAGCCAAGCAAACCCGAATGAGGTTTCCGAGATTGTCACACGCGCGGAGGCGTGGTCATTTGCAGGCAGGGAAGCGCAGGGAGCTACGAAAGGATATATCGAAGATAGGATAAATTTTGGGACAGAATTGGCAGAAAAAGCAGAGGATACGTTGAAGGAGATATATGAACTTATGAACCAGGACTACGAAGAGGCAACGGCTACTAAGGAAGACAAGAAGGAGGGTGAGAGCGATATCTGGACTTCGGAAAGCCGGTATGCTAGGGGTAGAGGAGGGCGACATGGCCGGCTGGAAAAGAGACCAAAGGGCCCATGGTCGGGGTTGAATGGGAGAGTGGGAGTTATTGGAGATGGATGATGCCTTCTCGACGGCGAGGAGATAGGGCATAGAAATGATAATTTATGAATAATGAAAAACTGTGTCGCAAAGGGATCTACCAGATTTGAGGTGATTCTCCAATTCCGTGACTGACCTGAAACCTGCCTATGATATGTAGAAGATATATTTCAATGAAACCACGGGCGCGCAGACAGTCACGACATATTGTATCTTATGCCCGGAATGCGCTAGAAGATGACATAACAGGGATCAAATCTAAATTTTCCATTGAACTGCGATCAATTTGCAAGCTCATGCTCGTCTAACAATTTGATAGCTATTATTCAAACTTCGAGGCCCAGCTCCAGATGTTTCCCCAAGCTCTGTCTCCCCTCGGTGTTGGTGTTCCCCAGCAATGACTCACCGCGCTAAAGAGTCCGCCCCCCAACAAAGAAACGAACAAACCCGGCTGGTCAAAAAGAAAAAGAAAGAAAAAAAAAAAAAAAAAAGTTAAGTTTGGGAAAAATTCAGAACTGAAAACAACCGACTTTCTATTCTCAATTCCTCCTCACCAGCACTCTCTTAACGTCCAATCGACTCCGCGCTCCCTCCTCTACCCTTCTAAACCTTCCAACAAACCCTTCACACTCTCGTTTTCTCCCTGCGCTAGGCGCAGCGCCCCCAATGGCTCTCCCAGCCCGATGCGGGCAGCGCATGGTCTCCTCCTTGCTTCGACAGCGATGTCTTGCGTCTGAAATCTACCTGCCATCTCTCCGCGCATTTTCCACCGCCCATACCCTTCCTGCTTCAAAGAAGTCTCTATATTCCCGGCCGTCTCCGCTGCAACAATCACAACAGCTGCCGCCATGGCGAGGTTCCAAACGGCCGTTTTCGAGCTCTTTGGAAAAGTTGGCGGCGGTCACGGGCCAGGAAGCACCCAGCGCAAAGGCTTATATGGCTAGCGGAGCCATTCGAGGTGCCGGCCAGCTGGTTGATGTGAAAAAAGTCCTGGTGATTGGGAGTGGTGGGTTGAGTATTGGACAGGCGGGCGAATTTGATTATTCTGGTACGTAGTTGTTTTTGTGGTGTGATGTAGTGTGTGGTATGGGACAGATAGCCATTGTAAAACCATTGAAGGATCCATGGACAACATGGATAAGGTGTGCGCGAGGCAATTGTACCCTTTAGCCGGTTCCGATGAGGGATTTGGTGGCTATCCCCTCACTCAGCAAATTCATGGCCTCGAGAGCATTTTACAAATCTTGGACGGACATTGAGATTTCAATTGACTCAGATGGCTAACGATCTATGTTTTTATTGTTGTCTTTGAACAGGTTCTCAAGCACTCAAGGCCCTCAAGGAAGCCGGTGTAAAATCCGTACTGATTAATCCCAACATTGCCACCATTCAAACGGACCACAAACTCGCCGATGAGGTCTACTATCTCCCCGTTACACCAGAATACGTTACCCATGTGATTGAAAGAGAGCGTCCAGATGGAATATTTTTGACTTTCGGAGGTCAGACGGCTCTTAACTTGGGCGTCCAGATGAACCGCATGGGAATCTTTGATCGGTATGGAGTCAAAGTCCTTGGAACTAGTATCCGGACCCTGGAAGTTAGCGAGGACCGTGATCTTTTCTCTAAGGCATTGAACGAAATTAACATCCCAATTGCGGAATCTGTTGCTGTCAACAGCGTTGACGAGGCATTGGAAGCTGCTGAGAAGATCGGCTATCCCATTATCGTTCGATCAGCGTATGCGCTTGGTGGACTTGGGTCTGGTTTTGCGAATAATGCCGAGGAACTTAAGAACCTGTCATCCCGCTCGTTGACTCTGGCACCCCAGATTCTAGTTGAAAAATCCCTCAAGGGCTGGAAGGAGGTCGAGTACGAGGTGGTGCGTGATGCGGCTAACAATTGCATTACGGTTTGTAATATGGAGAATTTCGACCCCCTGGGAATCCATACTGGAGACAGTATCGTGGTTGCGCCCAGCCAAACGCTTTCTGATGAAGAGTACCACATGCTCCGGACAGCTGCCATTAAGATTGTTCGTCACCTGGGAGTTGTTGGAGAGTGCAATGTCCAGTACGCCCTTCAGCCTGATGGACTTGACTACAGAGTCATTGAAGTCAACGCCCGTCTATCCCGATCCTCAGCGCTTGCCTCTAAAGCCACTGGATACCCTCTCGCCTATACAGCGGCCAAAATTGGGCTTGGCCATACACTACCTGAGCTTCCCAATGCTGTGACGAAGACTACCACCGCCAATTTCGAACCTAGTTTGGACTACATCGTAACCAAGATTCCAAGATGGGATCTGAGCAAATTCCAACATGTGAAGCGCGACATTGGTAGCTCCATGAAGTCTGTCGGTGAAGTCATGGCAATTGGTCGTACTTTCGAGGAATCCTTCCAAAAGGCAATCCGCCAGGTTGATCCCAAATACGTCGGCTTCCAGGGCGACAAATTCGAAAACCTCGATGATGTCCTCAAAAGCCCTACCGATCGCCGATGGCTTGCAGTCGGACAGGCCATGCTTCACGAGAATTATTCCGTTGACAAAGTGAACGAACTGACCAAGATTGACAAGTGGTTCTTGTACAAGCTCCAAAATATTGTTGATCTACAGAACAACCTTAAGGAAATTGGCAGCCTGTTTGGAATCCAGAAGGACATGATGCTCAAGGCGAAGAAAATGGGTTTCTCTGATAAGCAAATTGCTCAGTGTGTCGGTTCCACCGAAGATGATGTTCGAGCAAGGAGAACGAGCTTCGGTATCAGACCTTGGGTTAAGAAGATTGATACCCTTGCGGCCGAGTTCCCTGCTGATACAAACTATCTCTACACCACCTACAATGCCACATCGCATGATGTTACTTTCGATGACTATGGAACCATAGTCTTGGGAAGTGGTGTTTACCGTATTGGAAGCTCCGTGGAATTCGATTGGTGTGCAGTTAACGCGACTCTTTCCTTGAGGAAAATGGGCAAGAAGACGGTCATGATCAATGTAAGTACAAGATCAATAGTCCTTCCGCTATTTTTCTATCCCCCGCGAGGTGCGCAAAAGCACCTCAACCCTTGAGCCAGTCCACCCTCCCCCTCGTCTGCGGCATAAGAAGACTGTTCAGAAGAATCCTATCAGGAATGCTAACAATTTTACTCATCAAGTTCAACCCTGAAACTTACTCCACCGATTTTGACACTGCCGATAAGCTGTACTTCGAAGAACTGAGCTACGAGCGTGTCATGGACATTTACGAACTTGAGAACGCTAGCGGAGTCGTCGTTTCGGTCGGCGGTCAATTGCCTCAGAATATTGCTCTACGACTCCAGGAAACCGGCGGAGCTAAGGTCCTTGGTACTGACCCTAAAGACATCGACAAGGCTGAGGATCGTCACAAGTTCTCTCAGATCCTCGACAGCATTGGCGTCGACCAGCCAGCATGGAAAGAGCTGAGCTCGGTTGCTGAAGCAGAAGCCTTCGCTGACTCCGTTGGCTACCCTGTCCTCGTCCGTCCTAGTTATGTCCTCTCCGGAGCCGCTATGAGCGTCATCCGCAGCCATGATGAGCTGAAAGACAAGCTCATCAGTGCCAGTGCCGTCTCTCCAGACCATCCTGTCGTCATCACCCAGTTCATCGAAGGTGCGCAAGAAATCGACGTTGACGCAGTCGCCTCTGCTGGCAAGCTTATTGTCCACGCCGTAAGTGAACACGTGGAAGCTGCCGGTGTTCACTCTGGCGATGCCACTCTGGTCCTCCCCCCCGCAAATCTCGAACCAGCCATCATAGCTCGCGTAAAAGAAATCGCAGAGAAAGTTGCAAAGGCCTGGAGCATTTCTGGCCCCTTCAACATGCAGATTATCAAAGCTGAGAATCCCGAGGGTGGCGAGCCACTCCTCAAGGTTATTGAATGCAACCTCCGTGCTTCGCGATCTTTCCCCTTCGTCAGCAAGGTCCTGGGCACCAACTTCATCGACGTCGCAACAAAGGCGCTTGTCGGCAGAGACGTCCCCGAACCCACAGACCTCATGGCTGTCAAGCGTGACTATCTCGCTACCAAAGTCCCCCAGTTCAGCTGGACCCGTCTAGCTGGTGCTGATCCATACCTCGGAGTTGAGATGGCTAGTACAGGTGAAATCGCCTGTTTCGGCAAAGATTTGGTCGAGGCCTACTGGACCTCATTACAATCGACAATGAACTTCCGCACGCCGGAACCAGGCGAGGGCCTCCTGTTGGGTGGTGACTTGGATATGACCGAACTGCCTAAGATCGTTGATTACTTGAGCCCTCTGGGATATAAGCTGTTCGCAGCCAACCAGGGGGTCAAGGCTCACCTAGAATCTACCACGAAGGGCGACGTTAAAATCGAAGTCATTGAGTTCCCCATAGAAGACAAGCGGGCGCTGCGAGAAGTGTTCGAGAAATACGATATCCGTGGCGTGTTCAACATCACTAGAAACCGTGGTAAGACTCAGCTTGATGCGGACTATATCATGCGACGAAATGCTGTCGATTTCGGAGTGCCACTTTTCATGGAGCCAAAGGTATGTCAATCAACAGTCGTTATTTAAGCTTCTTCCCCACATTTGGGATCTTTTTTGTATGAAACGGTTTCACTAACGGGCACCACAATATAGACTGCCCTCCTTTTCGCGCAATGTATGAGTGAAAAACTTCCACGAAAGGAAGGTATCCCATCTGAAGTCCGAAGCTGGTCCAACTTCGTCGGTGGCAAGCTCATGTAACCCACAATACTTTAGAATTTGTGCTCTTAAATTCCGTTTATTTCCGGAAACCAGAACTACTATCCTGATCTTTGGTCTTCTCCCTCTTAAAATATTTCCTTTCCCTCCACCCCCCATCTTGCTTTCCATGCATGCCATAGATAGGCCTGTGTTGACAGGTGTTTTAAGTGCTCGCTCTTCTTTCTCTGATTTCTTGTTTTGGCTGGAGTGTCGCGTTCTATTTTCATTCTGCCTATACACATTGAGTATCTGATTCTATGTTTCTCGATTCTTTTTATTTTTTTTTGTTATACTATCCCCCCAATTTTTCTCCAACTGTCCTATCCGACTATTCCATATGCACTAAGCAGCCAATGACCAAGCAACCCTGTTCACAAAACCTGAGATCAGCCTGTAAATTCTTTTATTCTTTTATTCTTTTTTGCTTTTCAAATTTTTTATATCTGTCTTACTAGCTTGTGAGATTCGCATAGACAAAAGTTCGATTGCGGATACCATCACCTTCATGTACGTTTGATTTGAATTTCCCTATTTCTCTTTCAAAGTAGTTCGCAATAAAATCTCACAGCCTGAGCGCGTGCTCGTTGCTCCAATCTTAATTATTGTATACGCATGGTTAAAATAAGCTTCTCAGTAGCGCCCCCACTAGCGCCAACTCCCCAACCGCCATCGCGAGACGCGATTAAGCGACCAACGAACCGAGTGAATCTGGCTACCAAAATTATAGGGAGATATCTACCTAAATAATTCCAGCGTTTTAATTGATGTATGGAAGAAACTACTAGGTGAAGAAAAGGGAGAAAGAGAGGGAGAACGAAATGAAAACCTGCATAACCAAGCTAGCACGTTGCAGTTCATCTAAATCGCCAACATGGCCAGCACCACCAGAAGAATTGTCTGTACAGACCCAAGAGCCGCGCCTAAACAAACTCCTGACAAGGGGCTAGGACTATTTGCAACGTCCCAGATACGGCCTAGGGATAATATCTTCGCGATTACCGCCAACTTCGCTACAGTCTTGGATACTGCGCGGCTGCATGATACGTGCTCGAATTGCTTCGCAACCATAGGCGACGAGGTGAATCCTGACTTCACATTGAAGGCGTGTACTGGCTGTAATGTTGTCAGGTACTGTGATAGGGTATGTTACGGTGAACCCTTTTATCTACACTTTCTCTTGTAAGGTCTAGTTCTTGTCCCTGTCAGTTTTGTTCGAGCGTTAATACCATTTGCGCCTATCATTCTTCTTAGAGATGCCAATCCGAAAGCTGGGCGGCATCGCACAAGAAAGAATGCAAGATATACAAAAATTGTCAACCAAGAATTCTACCTATGAACGTGAGGGCTGTTCTTAGGATAATATCTCCGCCGGATAATAAGGCTGCGAAGGAAATGTACGACAATCATTATGAGTCGTTCCGTACACTTGGACATCACTTTTCCAAGATGAAGCAGAGGGGTGGTGAACAGGCCTATAGGACTACTGTTACCGCCGAAGCATTGAAAGCAATTTCGAACACTGATATTGACTTGTCCACCCTTGCCGCCTACTTTGCAAAGGTAGGGTTACTATGCCTTTTTACCTGCTTTCATACAAGTTGGTAGAGGAGGGCTGACGAGGGAATACTTTATAGCTGGAAACCAATGCTTTTACCCTTACCAACCAATATTTTGACCGAATCGGATTGTGCTTTCTTCCGTTTGCGTCATACATCAATCATAGCTGCCAGCCAAATGCCTATATTGGATTCGACGGACCAGTGATGTATTTGAAGGCATTGCAGGACATTGCCCCCGACGAGCAGATATACATATCTTATATCGATAATACCGAGCCCTTTCAAACACGCCAAAGCGAACTCCAACTACAGTATTTCTTCGAGTGCAAGTGCCCCAAATGTCTAGAAGGAACTACAGCACGCGAGGACCAGTTTCTCACGTCGGAGGGTCCGTCTAGTTCCTCCCCGGAGAAAGAAGCACGCGAATTTCTCGCAAGGAGTAAGAAACCAGACGAAGGCGCGAGAGCCTCAATTCAAAGGATTGAAGCAGCATTTGCGTTGCTGAGCAGTACCAAATGCTGGCCGATAACCCGTCAACCATTCCCACAACTCCTCGATGAACTTATCGTAAATCTACTGGATGCCAATTGTTACAAATTCGCCTTCATCCCCACCGCTATCCGCTATCTCAATATCGATCCCGTCTTATATCCAAATCGTCTACATCCGATCCGCAAGCGGAATACATGGGCCCTCGCGAAGCTTCTGCGGTGCATCAATCAACCCCTAGATAGCGATGCAAGCCCTCCAACTCCTCAGCTTGACCAGCTTCAGCCCGACTTTGCATGGATTTGGTTCTCGTTGCTCCATGGGCTTGTGGAGACATATGACGATACGCTACGTCTCCAGCTTTTGCTGAACGCGGAGTTTCAGAGAATTCGCGACGACATGATGCGCCACGGGGCCGACTTCAAGACAGCTGATGGACGCCGACAAAACAAGATGGCGGTTAATAGTGCGATGCAAAACTTGAGACGAGTAGCGGACGATGAATTGTCAAGATTAAATAACGATGGGTGGAGCGGGGTTACATCGTTTTTGGGTGGTTTGGAATAATTACTCTTTTTTAAGGGCCAAAGATATCTATTTTCAATAACCTAGATCCCTCAGGAGTACTAGTCTGATGTAGATATTGAATTCAACTAGCTAATGGGATGAAGAAGGACAAGGATTAAAACTCGCTTCGCTATGCAAAAATAAATTGGCTCAGTACCAAACAAGATGCGATGAGAGGAAAACTCCAGAAAATGTGAGTGGAAAACGATTAAAAGGGGTAATGTGATATAAAGTAAAATAGGAAGAAAAGGGAAGAAGAGGGAAGAAAAGGGAAGAAAAGGAAGTGCGAGGTGATCACGACAGAAGCGACTCTAAAGACCCCCGCCTAGGCGATTTAATTATCCTCTCCTCCAATAACTGCGAGGTCTGGACACCAACAAGTATAGAGCGAACCATTCGCATCCATCCAAATCCAGAAATCCGTTTGAGCCTGACGACTTAAAGATTAGAAAACATACAAAAACATATAAAGAGAGGGCTTGAGCACGCAGTTCTCTCGATTTTTCGGATGGCTGTATATTAATTACATTAGCGCCGAGACTTCTGGGCAAGAGCATCAAGCTTCTTCTTCCGTTCCATTTTCTCTCTCTTGGCCGCCAGTTCAGCCAGGCGCTCTTGTTCGTCTTCAAGTTTGGCTGCTCTGAAGGCACGTTGCTCTTCCTCCTCAACGTCCATCAAGCCAGCTTCCATGTCCGTTGATTCGCCCGAATAATAGCCTGCTTCATCGTAATCATCGTAAAAGTCGCCTTCATCTTCTTCGTCCGTACCTAAGTATTCATCGCGTACAGGCGCACGAGAGCCCTTCTTCGTGCCGCGACCATGGCTAGAAGCACGACGGCTGGGGAGGCCTGAGGTGCCTTTATACTCCAGAACTGGAGGGGCAGAAGGCGGGCGCGCAGTTCCTTTATATTCCGATTCTCCGCGGCTTTTCAACAAAGCAGCCCTTGCCGCGCTTGTTTTGGCTGCCTGCTGTCCACTAGCGCTGGGCGACTTGGCTTGTGTAGCTGTTCCATTCTTCTTATTTTTCTCCACTTCAAGTCCCTTTGGCTTCGCTTCCATTGCTTTTCGTTTGAGCTGAAGTTGCTTTTCTTTGGCTATTGAGTGATGTTTAATCATTCCAAGCTGCGTAGGGGCTTTCTCTTGCAGGGCCTTGGCCCGAAGCATCATCTCTGCATAAGAACCTTTAGGAGGGGGCTTGGCTGGGGAAACGGCGGGTTGTGGGCCATTTTTTGGGGTGCTTGTGGATGGCTGCTTTGTAGTCAACCTGGGGGCCGCCGATTTTTGGACAGAGCGCGGTTTAGTAACCAAGGACGGGGCTGGAGTCGACTTTTGGGGGGTTGATCTCAGGGGAGACGAAGACCTGGAAACTTTATGAGGATTTCCTACCGGCCGAACATCATCCTCAGCTCTCCGCTTTTGTCCCGAGGTTGTGCGCGAGTTGGCTTGCGCCGTCGAGGATGGAGTAGAGCTGGGTTTGGAAACCGAAGATGCAGGGCGTGACACAGGATTCCGGGCTGCAGGAGTGACGGTGGGGGTTATGTCGCCTGTCTCAATCGACGAGAGGACCGAGTTAAGGAACTGGAACGAGCTACGTTAGTCACGGTTGTCTTGAAAAAAGAAGCATATGAAAAGTGATACTAACGCTCATGGTGAGTAGGTTTGGGGTGGAATTTTAATGGGAAACCGGCTTGTGGGAGAGACGCTCATCGATAACTAGTGAAAATAGAGAGGTTCATGACGGGAGTATCTTCAGCCAAAACATGTCGACTGACTTAGATGCAATCCGCTGGCAAGATGGTGTGCTACAAAGCCCTATTCAAGAGACTAAAACGAGTGATATTATGCCGGCAACAAGAAATAGCATTCACAGAGGATATTAGGCAGCTGTATTGACCGCCAGACATGGATCGAAGCGCCCAGAAGGACAAAGACGAGGGTTGAGGTTGGCAACTTTTATATCGGGAAAGCAGCATTGGACGCGGGTGGCTCTTACGGTCACGTGCGGAGTATTAGTCATCTTCTGGGTTGGTTGGGTATGCTTATCGCCACGCATTGCTAGCTTTAGTGCCAGGCATTCGTTGCTTACTAAACGCACGCTCGCTTGCTACGAAAACAATTTTACGTTTCACCATCCAATCTTCCTTGTGCTGCAACCAACCACCGTTTTCAATCCCCATCGAACTCGACGTCTCAGTCTCCGCCCAACTCGCGGTTAAATCGATTGATTCTCCTGTTCGGAAACTCTCAAATGTACGTATTATGCCTAGAAGTTATCTTGCCCTTTGCTGTTGACCACACCCGTATACTAATCTTGGTATTTCCTCGCTCTTAGAAAACAACACATACAAAAATGAAGCACCTCGCAGCTTACCTCCTCCTCGGCCTAGGTGGAAACACCTCCCCCTCTGCTGAGGACATAAAGTCCGTTCTCAGCGCTGTCGGTATCGATGCTGACGATGAGCGCCTCGAGAAGCTCCTCTCTGAGCTCAAAGGAAAGGATCTTTCCGAGGTCAGTGCATATCACCCCTAGCACGGAATTCCGAGGTCGTTAACTTAATATGAGTGTGGGATGGGATTACTGACATCAATTTCTTCCTTCTTTTTCTAGCTGATCGCTGAGGGAACCGCCAAGCTCGCCTCCGTCCCATCTGGTGGTGCTGCTGGTGGCGCCCCTGCTGCCGGTGGCGCCGCTGCCGCTGGCGGTGAGGCTGCTGCTGAGAAGGCGGAGGAGAAGGAGGAGGAGAAGGAGGAGTCCGATGAGGATATGGGCTTCGGTCTCTTCGACTAAATCAAGTGATACTTTTCATCTCTCGCTTCGCGAGGATATGGTCAACAACTGGGACTGCGATGCGATACTCTACGTGCCGCTTTGGAACAGAAAAATGTATCAGTCTGGCGATCATAGTTGTAAATGCATTGCAGCCGGGATGGTGGCATTTGTCAAGATTATGTTGACTAGCTTTTTGATGACATCCATGATGGAAAGATTCATGTATTTCTAAAATCACAAACATGCCTAACGTCATCTATCTACTTGCCTACGAATCGAAGATGGCCGTTGTTCTGAACTGTTCAGGTTCCAGTAGTAGTATGCGCCTCCTCGCTCACTACAGCCCTAAAGCGACGTGTAGTACCCCCAGTAGTATCTGCCGTAGATTAAAATGCCCATAAAGCTCTTCCCGCAGTATTAAGCCCTACCGTTCAATCTCTATCTCAGGACCGTCTATTATTGTACTCTGAACGAGCCGTGGAAGTCACGAATGACCGACCCCTTTCGACTTTCGAACAATCCCAAAAGGCTGGAAGCTCTAGGTTCACGCTAGTCCCAATCAAGAGAACAGTTAGGGCACAAAACCTTAGCGCCGTCGCTTAGCCGAGCCTCACCCTCCACGCTTTCAAACTCCTCCGCTGGTCCACCGAACGACGAGGAACGACGACCCAACCGCCTTCAAGCCCCCTTCAGCGCGACAACAACTACCCATCGCTTTTCGAACGGCACTCGGAAAGCGTCTTAAAAGGGACATTTGCAATCATGGCTGACGTTGAATACGTGAGTGCTACTCTTTCTCGTTCTGTGTTTCTGTGTTATCCAGGAGAACTATTGAATACTGATTACTATGTGGCATTTTAGAACGCCGATGAGGCTGCTGGTACGTTGCTAATATCTATATCTCCCTGTTGTGTGTGGTTTTCTTCGTCGTCGTTCTGTGTGACAAGGGGTTAATGTGGAAGGAAATATTACGGTTGATGAAAAAATGAGTGGTTAAAATGACGAGGGTACGGGAGGAGTTAATAGGCTGGCCAGAGCAAGGGACAAACGACGTACCGAAAAATTTGAATTGGATCGAAGGGCTAGAAAGGAAATATGCAGTATGGATCAAATTTGGCTAACAGACCGTTCCTATCGAAACAGAGCTCAAGAGAAAGAGAGCCTTCCGCAAGTTTTCTTACCGGGGAATCGACCTCGACCAGTACGTTTGTTCTGCCGTCCTTGACACACACAGCCTATACATATCAAAGGAGAAGCGATTCCAAAAACTTTGAAACCTAGCCATTCTAATTGAAACATCGTTCTGAAATTACAGACTCCTTGACCTCTCCTCCGAGCAGCTGCGCGATGTCGTCCACGCTCGTGCCCGCCGCCGGTTCAATCGCGGCCTGAAGCGCAAGCCCATGGGCCTGATCAAGAAGCTCCGCAAGGCCAAGCAAGAGGCCAAGCCCAACGAGAAGCCTGACCTTGTCAAGACTCACCTCCGGGACATGATTGTGGTCCCAGAAATGATTGGTAGCATCGTCGGTATCTACTCCGGAAAGGAATTCAACCAAGTTGAAATCAAACCCGAGATGGTTGGCCACTATCTTGGTGAATTCTCGATCTCATAGTATGTGCTCTTTCACTTTTTACCGCTTCTGTGATATAATCGCTTTTGTCGTTCTATTTTGCCTTGGTTAATTCCGCAATACTAACCGTTTCCTTTAGCAAACCCGTCAAGCACGGTAGACCCGGTATCGGTGCTACCCACTCGTCGCGTTTCATTCCCCTTAAATAAACTCAAAAACAATCAAACTTGTTTCCTTTTGTTGCTACTCGGGTCGGGGTTTCCATTGTCTTCATTTTTTTTTTTGGCAATCTTCATATTTGTGGGCTATGGAGAGGGTCGTGAAATTTATATCTATTCAAAGAGACGCATCAAAAATCCCACTCTTTGCCCCCTTTTTTTCTTTTTTTCTAGCTAGACGTTTTATATGATGATAGCTAAAAAAAAGATAATGTCATGTCCTTATCTGAACGGTTTCTAGCTTGTTTCACTAGCCTTCGAAGCATTTCCTTTTGAGTATTTTTCGAGGGAACGGGGTCCATACTGTATGGAAAATTTGGGACAATATTTCATCGCTTGGATGAGATGAGATGCGATGCACTAATCTCTGACGCGTCTCTAGAGGAACTCTGCGAAATAGATGCCTTTTTAGACAAGGATTGCATAGCAATAAATGCGGCGCACCAACTCCCCTTCTCCCGCTCTTTCGACCCCTACTGGACCGACCATTTAAGCTGCGCCGTAACGTGGAACATCGTCGCTTTCGGACAAAAGGCAGTTACACACTCCCATAGGCTAGATGAACTACAAAAAATTCTGTGTTAATACAGGCTGTATGTAGTTGGTGAGTTGATATGTAACAATATCTAGCTCCGCCATGAGCGTCGATGCTTGACGTCAACGGTTAGCTATTATTCCGTCATAACTCACGTGGTTATAACGACGGATCAAAACAAGACATCCCGTTCCCTGAACTATACAGTTGCGAACCCATCTCTAAATTTCAATCAATTGCTCGCTTTAACGCATATAGTAAATGTATTACTATATGGGAAGATAAATACACACGCGCGCAAGCCCAGCTATTTAAAAAGCGACGGTGTAAAAGACAGCTTTAATCACTTACATCAAATCCAATGTGGAAGCCAGACGACCGCTACCCAACCCAAATGATGTCCGGCCACTCGAAGAAACTGCTCGCTAATGTGCGAAGGATTATCCCGCCCATGCTGGAGAAGTTTCATAAAGGTGAGTTCTGCTGATGAGGGTGGAAGGTTTCTTTGTCCTTCTCTCCACTCGCATGTGCGCTGCGAGTAGGCTAGCTGTATAGAGTGGATGTGGGATCAGTTAGCTAGTAGCTCGCCGAACGGATAGTACCGCACCCCCATTTTGTATCCTATCTCAGGTCATGGAGCGATGGATCTTATAATTTGCGAAATGGGGTAACTAATACCGCAATAACAGGACAGCTGGGACGTGTTGCAGTTATTGGAGGAAGTCCAGAGTGTGTACCCCGTCTACTACACTGCGTTTTTTCGTTCCGCTTCCCAACATATCCAGATATCTTCCAATATGAGATTGGAAGCAATTATCACCTTTCCATGCGTTTAGAGGCGTCTGTGCTTCATTGGTTATCATGGATTGTGCGCCAGAGGCTTTTGCCCTCTACCCCTTTGTCGTTCCCCGCTCTTCTATTTGATAGCGGCTGTTTTCTCCAAGAGAAAATTATCCTATTTGCTATTGAGAACAGAGCAGAGGCACTGATGCCATGTCGAACACTGCAGTTATACAGGTGCCCCGTATTTTTCTGCAATGGCTTCTGCAAGACTTGGTAGGCTTCCCTTTCTTTCCTGCTACATATACATTACACATACCCCTATTCAATTTCAGGACTTTCGAGTTGGATCTATGGGATCAACTAACTCCAATCTCGCTAACTCCATCTAGGCTGCGACATGGTAAGTCAAATAAATCGCTACATGAATACATCTCTTACCACAATTTGCATCCTCAACCTAACATAAATAATGTAGAGCCATGTTATCTGTGAACCATCCGCGGCAATCGTACGTATCCTCACTTCCTCCCCTATCGCAATCAGTTTATCCCCTATATAAATAACCCCTCCCTAACAATATCTAGGTAATAAAATCCTACTCCCCAAATCTCATGGTCCACCCAATCCTCCAATCCTCCAGCACCCTCTCCTCATTCGCCAACAGCCCCCTTTCCCCCCCACACGCCCGTGCGCTCGCAGAGCCCATCCTCTCCTTCCTATCCCGCCTACACGTCCTCGTCATCGGCCCCGGCCTCGGCCGAGACCCAACCACGCAAGAAATAGTCATCGAGATCATCAAAGAAGCACGCGCGAGGGGAATCCCCATAGTCCTAGACGCGGACGCCCTGCTTCTCGTCCAGAACCACCCGGATCTCGTCCACGGCTACGCAGAGTGCATTCTGACGCCTAACGTTGTGGAGTTCGCGCGGCTGGCGAAAGCGCTGGGTGTGGATGCGGCATCATCATCATCATCACCACCATCATCCGTATCGGACAATGATGCGGGCAAGTCGGCGGCTTGCAAGCGGCTGTCGATTGCGCTGGGTGGCGTGACGATTATACAGAAGGGGCCCCATGATGTGATTTCCAATGGGATTGCCAATGTCATCTGTGACGTGCGGGGTGGGTTGAAGAGGAGTGGCGGGCAGGGGGATACGTTGACGGGATCGTTGGGGACGTTACTTGCGTGGCGCAAGGCGTATCACGAGGGGCTGTGGGAGACTGGGGAATCTGAGGCGGAGGCTGGGAGGGAGGAGCTATCTGAGCGCGATGTTGAGCAGGAACTTTCGCTTGGTGGTGAGGAGAGTGGCGGTGGTGGAGGCCGGGAGGAAGGTGGTAATCGGCAACAGAAGAAATTATCTAGGCCTGCAACACTTTTGTTAGTTGCGTGGGCGGGTAGTGCGATAACGAGGGAATGCTCGAGGAGGGCGTTTGTAGCGAAGGGGAGAAGCATGCAGGCGAGTGATTTGACGGACGAAGTGCATGGGAGCTTTTTGGATTTGATTGGGGAGCCTGGGGAGGCGAAGCTGTGAGTGGTTCATTGCAAGTACGCATTCATTTTCGGGTTGTAACGATGTAGATCATTGTTTTATAGCTCTGCAGGACCGGGATGGATGAGATTCATGTGAAAACGAGTGTTTTATGATGTGAATTTCCCTACATACTGAAAATTGAAAATGGCAGAGATTGCTAAACAGGGAGAAGTATGACGGGTAATGAAGCGGTGTCCATCAACCGCAAAACATTCTCTAAACTACCCCAAAGAGTTACAAAAGGAATGAAAGGAAACATCAAAGGAAAATAAACAGGAGAAATTATATCCAATCTAGTATTATAACTCGGGCCATGAATCTCTGAGAAAACCTGGCGTATCCCAACACTGCAGCACTTGAAAATGGGAGAAAGACAGGGGGGGAAAATCAAAGGGGCTAAAAAAGTACGCATGGAAACGAAAACTACCGCAGCAAGATATAAATAACCCTGGCTACCATATCCATCATGCAAAACACATATACCTAATAAGAAAAAAAAAAAAAAAAAAACCAAGACTTAGATCGTAATAACGGCAGAAGGTCATATTCCCGCGAGCCAAAGATCAAATGTGCTCAATTACCCACCCCATCCCATTCTTCCGAATCCCAGATAAACGAACAAAATTTTTCCCAATTTGACAAAGTCATAACCGCACTGTTTGTATTCCTGTTAGAAGCGAAGAAATCCAAAAGGGCGGAGAGCTTCCTAAGCTCGAAGATAGAACCAAACACAAACGACAAAATTCGTTTAATATATCCTCTAACCTTGGTATCCCAGCGAAAAGGTATATATAGAGCCATATATATAAAGTGTAGCATGGGCGCCGCGACCGTCGAGGAGCTTACCAATGCACGTTGATATACAATAGTATTTGGTGGTATATATATTTAGACTGTAAACTTGCAATTGGCGCAAGGAGAATGGTCGCATTGGATACACCTTACTGCGACTTCGTACATGTATTCACTTGTCCCGGAGGGACACTTGCACTGCAGTCGCGCACATCTTGTCAGCTGGTATGATAAAGTGGGGTGAGAGGGGATATATATATTTGAGCTAGATTATTCATCCTCGCATTTTTCCCTTCTCACTCTTTTACAATATTTTAGGTGAATGAGAAGGAAAGAAGGGTGAAGAAGGGAGAGGAGAAAGGCGAAAGCCACTCAATAGAACAACGACACGTTAGACTTACACAAGAAATAATCGCGCATGGCGGAACTGTATTGTTGATAGGGATGAGACCGTTTACATCAACATAATCATAGTTCTGCCCAAATGGGTTGACAGCCGTGGAATAGCCGTTTCCCCTTCCGCCAAACGCTGCTGCTTGCTGCGAGAGTATCCGCTGCTGTCCATCGGGCATCGTCGACGCTGAGTTGAAAGATGAAGAGCGATGAGACACAGCATTGTCACCCGGGCGCGAATCTGCCATGGTAGAGGCGTGTTTACGCTTGGTAGCCGGTGCGAGAGAGACTTGAAGTGCTGCCCCTGGTCGACCACGAGACCCCGGAGCTGGCGAGCGGCGAGTGTGTCTACGAATGGGAATCGTGAGAGGTGATAGAATAGACTCGGTGGCACTGGCGGTCGGAACGGTAGATTCCATGTCTCTTGTCGGCTCTGCTTCTCCGCCGTCGCTGCTTTTGGGCTTCTCGCCTACATCCTCAACTATCTCAAATCCATTAGACGTTTCCAACATGGCTCCTGTCATATCTTCTTTCTCTATACAATGCCCTGTAAGGGTCCCCTCTAGGTGAACCCAAACATCAATGCTTTGTTTCTGCTTATAATGTTCGTTGTCAATGTGATCAAACCGTTCGTCCCAAGCATCCTGCCCTTCTTTTCGCAGCCGAATGAGCTCGCGGCAGAATCCACACCAGAATTGGAATTGTCCATTTCGTCCAATCTCATTTCGTTTCACGGTTTGCTTTGCGGCCTTCCCGTCGAGGGAGTGTTCGGATTGGAGGTGCTGATGGAATCTGTCTTTGCGGTCAAAGACTCGTGCACAATCGATTTGAGAACGAACTAGGAAAGCCGGAGGGAAATCCTTATGGTCCGGCCCTTCCATAAGTGTCTCATCGCGGATCGTTACATGATCTTTTGGGGAAGGGTTTACTGGACAACGCCAGCGCTGGAGCTGGAAATGCTGAGTGTTTTCATGACGTTTCCAGTCGTTTTTACTTCCAAAACTTTTAGGGCATCCAAGCTGGGTGCACCCATACGGTCGAGAGTGACGCTTCTCGTGCTTTCTAAACTTATCCGTTAGCAATTGAGGTACCCCACTTAGATAAAGAGGAGAAAAGGAGGATACACTTCATCTCAGACATCCGTCCAGTCTCTCGCGTACAACCATCATAGCTACATGTGAAAACCTTTTTCTCGCGACGTCGCTGAGGGCCGTCCTTACTGGTGAGGTTAGTGGTTCTAGGTGGCGCTATGTCTGTATCCACTTGAGATGCTTCTAAATAATTCAGACCGGCCTTGAACATATCGCGTAGGGCCTTGTCCCTAGATTGCTTTGACCCATTCTTAATTACCTCAAGATATGACTCCATGCCGGAGCCACTAGGTAGTTGAGAAGGATAATCAGTGGCACCAGCATCTGGCGGCTCACATAAACCAGCACCGTTTCCATCTCGCAGTTGCTCTGGCCGTAAGTTGGGTACATATTTTCCCATGGCTTCGAACAGACCTAGAATAGCCTCTGTGAATGAAGCAAAATAAGGTCCCTGTTTCGTTTCAGGAAGGAATTGTGAGGATGGGTTATCTCCACCGTTGTGTTCGGAAGGTTGAGCAGCATCCTGTGGGAGTTCGATATCATCCCAGGCATTGAACGAGCTCAGCTGACACCTCTGATCCTCATGTGAAGAGCCGGATAAATCTTCCGTCCCAGCTTCGACAGACATCGAGTTGATAGTGCAGTTCAAGGTGTTACTGCTAACATGGTCCCACTCGTCCAATTGAATACCTTGTGGATAGTGGGAATTGTTGCTAGATGTCCCCTCATCTATGATGGTTGCCCCGTAGGGGTGAGATTGCCGATTGCTTAATTGAGTCGTTTCTTGGAGCGGGTTGAGCCTATAGCTATTTGGATCTATAAGCTCCTGTTGAGCTGAACCAGTGGGCAAGCTATGTCCCCCTGAACCGTTTAGGCCTGACTGCTTCACAGAGTCAAACCAAATATTAGAGCTATTTTTAGTCAGTATACTGATATGACATACTCAAAAGAAGAGAGAAAAGTCGAAACAACGCAGAAGAAGACAAGTAAGAATAATAAATAAATAAAACTGGTCTTACCGCCGTAAAAGCTCGTCGGTATTCTCGTCCCTGTGGACGCGCCTAAGATGTTGTTGAAAATTATCTTTCCGAGGCCAGATCTTATCTTTTGTCGCGCAGTTTGTCCCGAAGCACTTGAACTCGCTTGTATTTCCATGCGTTGGCTTGATCCCATGGCGACTTTTCTGATGTCTCTCCAGGTCATTGATTGTCCCGTAGCCCTCTTTTCGAGGGCAGCTGGGTTCTGTGCAGTGGAAACGTTTTTGATGACGTATCACGTGCTTCCTATGCGGCTTCACATTAGCTAGGCCATCCTCCATTGAATTTTAGACATTCAAGATGGAGAAGGGAAAAGAAATAAAATAAAAGAAAATACAAAGAAAAGAAAAGAAAAAGAAAAGAAAAAAAAAAGATCAACTCACTTTTTATCTGATTGAGACTTTCCAACCCATTCACATTCAGCTTCATCGCATGCAAACGGCGGATCGTTTACTTGTGATCTTACCTCCATACTAGTCTGCCAGCAAGCTTGCTGTTGCTGTTGTTGTTGTTGCTGTTGCTGCTGCTGCTGCTGCTGCTGCTGCTGTTGCTGTTGCTTTTGCTGTTGCTGTTGCTGTTGCTGCTCACCAACGAAGGCATATTGATTTTGCAGGGGAGGGTAACCCTGTGGTGTATTCCAAAAGGGATCTATCGTCGGCGGATACACGGCCTGGTCAACTGAGAAGGGGCTTACAATGGACGTCGCCGTCACGCTTGTGGCGTAACCAGAGTCCGAAACGGAATGAACGTTGACATGACTACCTAACCCAGTCGGCGTTTGTCCAAAGTTGTTGCCCGACATGCCAACGTCAGGACCTCTAATCCTCTGTTTCTTATTCTCCTGCCTTGGGGTTGGGTTATCTTGGATAGGTCGTACCGGATCCCACAACAGCAGTTTGTTGGTGTTGAGATGCGCGGTGGGATCTTGTTCGAACGAATTACGGTTGAATATGTTCCCTGCAAACATCAACGGCGGTGAGCCTGAATGTATTTCGTAAGGAGTCAACGCTGGTGCAGGTCCCGAATTGTCGTATGAAGGCGTGATCATATGTTGGAAAGTATTTATGTCCATTCCCCCCTGATAGAAATATCCGTTATGCCAGGCTGAATTGCCATGAACGGTACTCGGCGTCTCCTCGTCCGGTACCTAGTGAGGGTGGGGATAAGGTGTTAGTTAGTGCGACTACATGGATGATGCTACCTCTTATACCCCGAAGCGAGGAGGTATATCGCTAATATACAGCTTTCTGAGGGTTACAAGAGACATAACCACATCGCATTAAACATTATTAAAGGAAAGATGAGCCATCCTTACAGTGGTAAGGAGCATTGGTTGCCCATTCCCGTGAGGTATATGATGGTTTGGGGTCATGGCGAATAACCCCACCTTAAACGGTAGACACCAAATGTTCTAGATCAGAGTATAAAATGAACGAGTATAGTAAAGAAATATGAGAGGGGTACTCTTTTAACGTTTCGCATTTGAATGCAAGTAGAGGATTTAGGAGAAGGTTGTAGCTAAAATGAGACTATAGAGCTCAAATTATGGTCTAGGGAAGTAATGGTAATTATATCAGGTATAAAACCAGGGTGAGTAGCCAAAAAAAAAAAGGGTAACGAGAAGAGGGAAAATCGAGAGAACTAAGCTTATAAAAGTCAGTAGGAGTAAAGGTAGACGAACGCAAATAGAATTGGAGAAAGCTCGAGACAAGGAATATGACAACGGATTAGTTACGGGACAACTCCGGTAGTAGCATGTAAATCAAAGACGAGTCGGAATACTGATCCGAGTACGCATTGATGGAACTCCCGAAGGGAGGAAACAAAAAAAGGGAGAGGACGCCGGTAGAACTTCCAACAAATGAAGTGCTAGCACTAGGCGTGGCTTGTGCAAAAGTCAAAAGCTTCTCAGGTTTTCGAGGCCCTCCCCGTCGGCCTATTTGGCATTCCGGGTTTGGGAGTTTTTTTTTTCTTGCAGTTCCCGTCGTCAGCAGCTCGACGTAGCGGTGAAAGAGCGGCCGCACTGGAGCAAAAAAGAGAGAACAAAATAAATCCCTACTCGACTTTCGCGGTGTTATTGATAAACGACCAACTACAGAGTACATGCCGTTCGAATTATCATCGGGGAGAGGTTCCGGTGACAGATATGGTGACAGGAGGCGGAAACGAAACAGGTCCCACCGAAAAAAAAAGGAAGCAAACAGGGAGAACGTGAAGAGTCTGACGCTTGATAGCAGCATAGATGGGTATCAAGTCAAAAAAGCATGCACTAAAAAAAAAGAGAGATCAAAACCTTAGACAAATGACTTAGTGAAAAGCAAACTGATCGGCACACTCCACTCCCTTGGGGATGGATATCTCGGTTTGTTCTCTCCCTTCCTCACTTTTGCAGAAGAAGAGGAGAAGAGAAATGAAGCATTGGGGAACTCTCTGTTGTCGATAGGGGAAGGAGACAGAAAAAGCAAAAACAACAAAAATCCCGGGTTTGGGCGAGCAAATAATAAGATGCTCAGAATGGTTTGGCTGCCAGCTCTAGATGTTCCATCGAAGCCATGAAGAAGAAGAGGAGGCTTGGGCCTCTAGCTTATTAGCGCAGCCCCGACGGGCGCACCAGAATGCAGTAGGCATACGGGGAGCTTGGGTGGGCTGGACCCCGTCGTCTTTGGTTGGCGGAGACCTTTAGCGGTTGCATCCACGCCCTTCGACTCCACGCTCTGCTAGACTGCCAATGGCGATGGTTGGTGATGGTGACGGTGGTGGTGGTGGCTGATAGATGCTGATTGATGGGTTGTTGTCCTAGGTTTGAGCCGCAGTCGATCAGACCCTGTGACAGCCCTGGTACGGTACGTACACTCCGAACCCGTCTCATCCAGCGCACTATTGCTGCATTCCGCGTATTATTACCAGCTGGGAACGAACAGCATGTAAGTTATCTGCTGCCTGATCTGATCTTGGTCTGATGCCGGCCCAGCGCTAGTCCTCATTGGGCTCCGCCGTCCATCTACAAACCCACAGCCAAAGCGGAACCATCTCATCCCATCCCATCTTCGCCCTGCCCTGTCCTGTCCTGCCCTGTCCTGTCTCTAAATCCAGGCCTCGTCTCTTCACCGGGGGTCGCGGGAGATCGATTCCATTCCTCACAAATGTACAGAGTAATCCCAGTGCACGGTTCGTTCCCATTACGGATGCTTCCCTTGTATGTACTGCGTATGTTACCCCAAACATTGTTACCTTCTCTGACTGGCCCGGAATGGGATGCCGCTAAGGCAGATAGTCCGCACAAGTAAAACGTACTATCACGGAAGGAAATGGTATCCGGTGCCAATACTTTTTATCTCCTCTAGATACATACATTGGAGCGGCAGATCCCAAGCTGGTAGATGGACGGGAAAGAAGCCATTAAATGAGTATTCTAAGACACACGTCGTTCTCTGTTCAAAACGATTTTCACACCGATATTACAGCCAGGAAATAGGAAATTCGTGTTCGCACATCTGTCGATACGCTAATTTCATAAATAATGGGGCACATTATCACCAAAAATAGGGGAAGCATCGTAAATCAAGCGGCGAAATAATAGTTAGAGAAGATGGTCGTGCTAATAGCAAATCATTGAACGAAACGGAGCCAACTTAATAATAACGTTTAGGAAACCCGAAGGAAAAGAATAAAACACAATACAAGCATAAATGGCCAGTTAAGGGGTACGAAATAAAGAAGAAAGAACATAACGGGCTGGATAGAGATGGGGAGGTAATCGCTGTGCGAGGTTTTAATCACGAGAAAACATCCATGGGGCAGCTGAACACCAAAGGGCGGAGGACATAAACCACAAGACCACAAATCAGACTTAAGAACCGAATCAGAACAAAACGGAGAGAGCAAAAATAAAAATAAATAAAGGCCAAAGCCACAAAAACAAAATTAAAAAAATTGAAGAAATAAACCGGAAAAGTTCAACAATGACACAATCCGTCCCTGCCAGAAACTAAAGACCAGCAAAACAAGAAAGCAGATCTCACAGATCATCCCTGGTTCTGATATTGATATGGGCCGTCACGGTGTTGGACATAGCTTTCTACCTGACCTGCGGGACCGCCATTGGGTCCTGAAACTACTGGGTATTGCACAGGGGCCGTAACATCATTGTAGTGTAGAGCCACTGACGGGCCCATCCCACCTTGGCTTTGCTGATAGACATACCCGGCGTTTTCAACTGGCGAGGTGTATATTTGTTGCTGAGTATCATATGCAGTGGTGTTGGAGACGGCCGCCGCGGCGGTCAAGTCATATGCCGTCGCACCTACTGGAGACTGGGCGATGTCCGAAATGGGTAACTCTAGCCGCCGCGACACGGCATTATACGGGGGTGGGTATGTAGCGGAAGCGTGGTGAGGGTTGAATTGTTGGCTGGCTCTGGTTGTAACTGGATACACGCGCTGCTGCTCGCTAATTGATGGCGAAGCTGACTGTGAATAAGGTGAGAGATTGTAGCTCTGCCCACCAGCTGAGATTGACCTCCCTCCCATTCCCAGTGAGACAGCAGTTAGCTCATTTTGCACAGCATGCATCTGAAGATGGTCAGCTAGTGAAGAGGACTGAGTGGTTGTATAACTTTCCGCATTTTGTGCCGTCGAAGTGCCAAAGGTTGAGTGGCCAAGGTTGGCGTTGATTGCTTGATCTGATTGGAAGGAATTCCGGTAGGGCGTTGTGCCTGGAAGCGGACTCATTGCTGGTGACTGGCCACTACCAGCTTTCGGGAGGGGTGGGTAGCTTCCTATCTCGATTGGGCTGATAAGGGTATTTGCACATATTGTTCGTTGTTTGACGAGACTTAGGACTGGCATGGCGATCTGCTCCATGTGCTTTGCCAGGTGCACGGAGAGCTTCTTCCAACTGTTACAAATATTGCCACAAAATCGACATGCCTCGTCCTGTGGTTTCTTGGGGTTAATATGGTGGCATTCTTCAACCAACTTCCACACTTGGTCAACCCCCTGATCATGAGCCGAGCTTTGCTGGTTATCCGTCTTCTTTGCTGCTCCTTTGTTGTTCCCACTACCACGACCTCTGGAGGATTTAGCCTTCGGTTCTGGCATTTTGTGCTCTCGAACGAGATGTTGCACGAAATTATCTTTCCGGTGGCATCTATGCGAACAGTCCTGCATGTTGCAGGTCCACCACTCCAGCTGTCGATGGCGCTCACTCTCGTGCCGTACCCAATCGGCTTTTCTCTTGAAAGATTTCGGCTCGGTACATTCAGGGAAAGTACATGTAAATGGCATAACGTCTTCGTGAACATGTTTCGTCCAGTCAGATGGTTTCTGGAACGCTTTTACCTTAAAGCAGAGAGAACATTCAAACTGAGCGGGAAGACGTTTAACTGGTGGCAGAGGAACGCCATGGGGGAAGAGCGCCGCAGTTACAGTTCCTTCGCCAAAGCCGCTCATATCCTCATCTGGATCGGCTGAGGCGGTTACTTGGAACTGCGCGTACGTGGAGTCTGGATCTTTCGAGCTAATTCTGGGTGGGAGCATTGTGGCTTCACCCCCCTGCTCAAAGCAATGTTTTTCTGAGGCGCAATTTTGCATGTTCACTGCTTGAACATGTTGCAATTTAAGGTCAATGAGCCTTTTATATCGACGTAACTGCTCTTGGGCGAATCGCTCTATCAATGCCAGCTCCTTAAGTCTCGGGTTGAGCTGCTGAATCTGGGTTTTGAAGCCTTCGAGCGTTGGCACAATGGGGTCCGCTCTGACAGTGAAGTCCATGGTAACCCCCTTGTCACCCATCTGCTCATCTTCGTCATCCTCTTCCTCATCATCGTCATTTAGCCCTCTCCCCGATAGAGGACTTGGAGTGAGGGCTTTGTCTTGAAGCGGGGAAGCAAGGGTGGGAACGGGAGGACCACCAAAGCTTGTCATTAACTCCAGCAATCCACCTGATCCGGGTGATTTTGAAGTTTTCGGTAGATCACTTTTGCTGCGACTGCGTCTCATGAAATTATTTTTCCAGGGGCTCGACGATGTGCTATGAGACGGTACTCCGACGGGCGCACCACCTCCAACCGCAGCAATCTGTCCGGTCATAGCCCAAACAGCATCTCCAGTTGTCGAGGGGGACCTTGGGGAACGAGTAAAACTGGGCTTCCTCTGTGGTAAAACTGAGCTGCCCAACCCTCCTTCCCTCGAGTCTTTACTTTTAGGCTTATCGACGGATTCGGTGCTGGATTGCTGTTGGGCAGATTCGGCTAATTTGCGTTTTGCACTGCTGCTGCTCCTCTTAGGTAAAAGCTTGTTCGTATGTTTGAAGATACTATTTCGTCTGGTGTGCTTCTTTTCTTTATCGACAAATGAAGGATTGAAGGAGCCGCCGGATGCATGCAAGCTACGGATATCTGATTCACTCATTCTCCGCGTGGTGCCCCATGTGGCAGCGCGGGACGCAGTTTCGATATTTTCAGCAGCACGCCCAAATCTCGCCATTGCAGCATTCGAGCTCGTTGGTTGATGTCTGGTATCGCCGATGTGATGGTTTCGAAATGGATCTTGCCAGAGTCGAGCTCTGATAAATTGACGGGGAAGTGGCTCCGTATTTTGATTTTCATCATCGTTGATGACTGGAAGAAAATACCCTCCTCCGGGCGGTTCGTCTCGAGAATCTAAGTCCACTTTTGCCGGGGGTGTCTCTGGCAATTTGCTTGAAACATTCGAGTCATCGTCATCCTCTATATCTTCCAACCCGCTGTCCTCGTCGATTAGGACACCAGGCCCAGGAATTTTGGAATCATCAAAGAACTGCTGATGGGTCGCGACCGGGTCTCCAGTACTTTTTGCTCTGCGGCGAAGCGTCACCAGCTTGTTTCTTCTGCGAGGCTTACGACCAGTAGCACCATTATCCTCAACTTCGCTACTAACCTCGCTAACAGACAACCACTGTTCTACGTCTGCATTCTTTTGCTCTCGTTTGCGCTGTTCTATCATTTCTTTGGGGCTTGGGACATAGATGTCACCTCGAGAAGCAGGGTCGAGTCCGCTTGCCCCTGTGGAAGAGTTGGCGACCCATGACCCATCTTCCACACGTAATGATGATGGGGGGACTGAAATAGACCTGTAGTGTGAGCCTACGTAGTGGCTACCGTCAGTGTCATCGTACTCGTACTCGTGTTTGTTGTCGGTTGGGGCTAGGTGAGATGATGATAACGTAGGTCGACCCCTCCTGTCTGGTCTCCGTTCCATCAGCCCATCATTTCCAGCAGGCGAATCGCCACGGGTATAGCTCGACACTTTAACGATTGGGCTCGTAGGTTGATCGCTATGAGAAAATTTATTATTAACTTCAAGCGTGTCGCTGCAAGGGCTGGTTGTTGTAAGAGTTGGTGTTTGCTGAAACCGATGGGCAGGAATATCCATTCTTGACGGCCGGTGCGCCTTATCTCTTCCGCCAGACATACTAGCAAGGTGTATGTTTTGGCCGTCAGATGGTGGGCTGGGGGTATTTGTAAGCCCCGGGCTCAGAAGTTGCGACGCCGTTAATGTTGTTGATTCCAAATTTTGCTCATTATTTAGCCCTGTAGGCTCCTGTGGTATGTGATGCTCTTGTACTTCTGATATGGGCAGTGTAAGAGGCTCTAGCTCGGGATGGATGCCAAACTCTGGCTCCAAGAAGAAGGGGTTGTCAGTCTCGGGGGATCCGAAGGAACTAAAATCGCTATATCCGTTTTCCGCGTAATCGGAGGGGCTTAAGAAATCCTGGTTGGATGTAGGAGAGTGGGCGTTGCTCTGGGGGTTGGTATTTGGCCGGGTGTGTGTGGGACCACCCTTCGAGCCACCTGGGAGGTAGAGATTGTTTGGGGAGACTGGGAACGAGCGGTTGTTGAAGCTTTCCCCTGACAATTCTGCGTTCGGGCGTTGATTTTCCAATTCAGAAAGCTTTACTGTTGCTGAATCACTATGAGAACCTAGTGGTAATTGCTCGTCGCTGTTGGAAGGGTTCGGGAGAAAGGGATCGCTGTAGCTTTGAGCTTTGAAGGCCGATAGATTCGGAGACTGGTTTTCGATAGGCCGTGGAGAAGAGGTTGCAGCCGACATAGTTTATAAAGAATAGTGGCCTGGAAAATGGATCAAAAAATTAGATCGGCCAGTGCCTGACCGAAACTGAGGTGAACAGCAGGGACGGAAATCACTAGCTATAGGAAACGTGAGAAAATTCTCTTGTGATCTCGTATCCCACGCGGAAGCAGCACCCTGCAATCGCGGCCACAGTGGTTTACGAGTCAACACTATGAGTCGGCCAAGATGCAAAAACAGACGTCCACGGATGGTGGCCACCTTTACATTTAGAGAAGTTTGGGGGGTTTCACGCAAAACAGTTGACCTTCCCGTGTAACTGGTGGTGGAAAGGTTGACGATTATTGGGATCACTACGGGATTAGACCGTTCGTCCTCGCGGTGCCCGTTTGATGAGTGCGCTATTGGAAACCCCGCAGCTAGGGACATATGGATGGAGCTTGTTGGGCTTTTAGACTATATCAATTGCGCGGGCGCCTGGCTCAAGGGCGGCGATGAGCGATCAAGTGGATGTCCTCACTTTTAGAAAAAAAAAGAAAAAGAAAAAAAAAAAAAAAAAAAAAAAAAAAAAAAAAGTTACTGCGCAGAGCCGGGTGGAGGAGGGGGGATTGCTGCAAATTCGAGGGTGCCAAAGCCAGCATTGGATAAACGGTGGAAACGGTGGACTTTTGAGCAGTTAGTAATCGGAGCCTGTTAGAGCCACCAACAGCGCCCTGGGAGGATGGACTGCAGAAGAGGTATCTTTGCCGAGACGGACACGGCGCAGTCTGCGGCTGATTAGATGACAGCCTGCCGATTGACCTTGAGGCTTGACAGAAGTCTGCCGTGAGACAGTAGCCAATTAGAGCCGCACTCCCCTCGACCCTATTTCAGCCCTGTAGTTATGGCTGCTTAAGTGGAGTTGGACATTTTGGGAGAAAAAAATTCTTCCAAGCGACCTACATTTTCAAACCGATATTTAATTTTGAGATGATCAAGGAAGCATAGCATTTGGTTTTCGTAGAAGTGCAGATACATACATGTACAGCAGTAGTACGCAGTATACGGAGTATAGCAAGGAGAATTATAGTAACTTTCCCCGCGCACCCGCTGTCCAGGGTCGAAATCTAAGCTTAGGCCTCAGGGCGGAACCCACAGTTCGAAAAATCCATTAGCGGTCGAAATCAAGCCTTAAAATTGTCCAAGCGGCGGCCAAATCGGGCCTAAAATTGTCAAGCTCTAGCGAGCCCTATCGTTGGGCTCACAAAGCAGAAAATGCTCCCGTTCTACAGGCAAGATAGTAAGTAGTTATCCTGCAAACGAGGCCTCTGCCAACTTGCGGGTTTCGCCACATATTAAGAATAAATTGATCAATAATGCGCAGTTCACAAGAAAAAGGTAACATCAAATCGTATCGTAGGAGAATCCATACCCGTGGACATGATATTAAGCTGGTCGTGAACGGGTCCACATATTCTTCATGTCATGGAGTCGGGGCAAGGGGTTAGTCTCTGGATAGTCACCCCGACACACCCTGCGTAGGAGCTGGGCTCACCAACTCTTCTCATTTTCATTATCGTTGCTTCCTGCACTCTACTCCGTACGGTACTCAGCCATCCTCATCATGAGAGTTGGAGAATAATATCTTCAAGGATTATATGGCGCCCCCCACAAAGCAGATATCGGCCCCCAAGTCCCACTAAATTGGCAAAGCCCAGGCAGAAACACCCCACACAGCAGGGGGATGAAGTCATGGCACGTCTCAGATGGTTTGGCAGCTTGGACTCTCATTCTGTATGTTGCTTTCCGTGCTTGTTGTCCGATTTTTCCACTCAAGACGAAGATGCAGTAAAAGAAAAAAATAAGAGTTGTTTTGCCGTTGTTGAGCTTCCGTTTTGGGACAGCCATCAGATTAGGGCATAGGGCAAGGGCAACGGGCATACATACGTTCATTCATTCATGCTATCTCAACTGCAACGAGCTACATTTCATTCAAGCTCTTACATTCTCACTTGTCGCAGTATACTAACTCCATCATGGCATGAGAGCTGTTGACCCTATGGGACGGCCAGTCTGTCAGTGGCCGTGCCACTCTGATAATCCTCAAATCATCAATTATTGCGGAGCCTATCTTCGTCTTGAATGGCAGAGGATCCACGCTTCTCGGAAACATTATGCTAAGCCTTTTTAACTAAACACGAAATATGCCTCCAGTGGATCTCCCACCCTTCGTGCTTGCGCCTTGTCAAGCTAGTCCAGTTAACAATCAAGGAAGTGAGCAAATGTGGCTGTGCCGGAAGGTGAAGCAAGCCTGCAACCAGACAAAATGAAGGAAAACGAAAAAGCTCTTAGCTTTCTCACACTATACATACGTTGTAGATGCAACTACGTCATAAATTATGTTTCTTCAACCTTTTCTCCGGCATGACGCTATGTAGTCATCAATCTGGGGGGTGTCGCCAGGAAAACACCCATGTTGTCATCGAAAAGCCTATGCCCAACCAAAGTGAATGTAGTTCAAAGAGGCTTGGTTGGGTACAGTTTATGAGTTCTAAAGTGCCAATGCATCTTGATGAGGAATGGTAACTGAGGGGAATGTTCAAAAGATCATGCAATTTCGATAGAAGAGCACCCCAGCGAAACGAAAAGATTTTCAACTACGACCAGGGTTCTATCAAAGAGTTACAGAGTATTAGGTCATTATTAGACAGGTGGGAACCAGATCTAGATAGAGTTGGGGAAAAATGGCGACATAAGTATGCTGCATTATCCTATATCTCGTAGCGAAATTAGGGGGAAAGTTGAAAACGAAAAGTAGGGGAGTGTAGCTGAGAACAAAAGTGTTTTTGAAAGTATAAAAGTTTGATACCAGATCGAACGAAAAAAGAATGAAAAGGTTAAGAAGTTCGAGAGTTGAAGGCTCATAGGAGTAGCAACAGAAGACAGAAACAGAGGAAGTACATATGCCAATTCAAAACGTAGATGCTAGGAAATGAACTAGGTTGGGAAAGGGGCAATTAAAGAAGGAAGGATGGAGACCGAAGATTATTCCCAGAAATCAAACATAATACGCTATGCATCGCTAAGTTCGCCAAAAATAGAAATCAAGTACAACAAAGACATATGGGAGAAGAACGCAAGGACAAAAACAGACGATGATGAAAAACCCCATCATACAACAATATGTCATCTATCATCACCGTTACAGGATGTTACAAAAAACTATGTATAAAGCATGTAAAAGAAAACCAGGAAGAGGAAAATAAACTGAAATAGGAAATTAAGCAAAAGTGAAGTAAGGGGGCATTACTGAAATTTCAAACTGATATGTGGGAAGGGAGCACTCTAAGAAGGGCTAAAATTCTGGAGAAGGAGTTGACGGCTATGCAGCAACCTCCACTGCAGGAGTTCCAGCATCCTGATCCGCTGCGTCATTTTCTGCAGCTGTATCCAGGGGAAGATCGGAAGGATTGTCGCCGTCATTACCACTTGGGCCTACAGCAGGAGTGCCAGATCCGGATCCAGAGGGGTCAGCCGTTTTCCTGGCGATTTCCATTTTTCGTGCGAGGACAGAAGGCGAATCGGCATAGAGGACCACGCCCGGTAGGTACACGCATTGAGTGCCTTTCTCGCCGTCTTCGGTGAAGTCTTCGTGCACCGGTTCTCGGTAGATGCGAGGGCACATACGGAGGAGCACTCGTCGCCTACGGACCGAATGTGTTTCATTGTTGGACTCTTCTGCTGTTGGTGATGGCGCGGGATCATAAACGAATTCCTTCCAACCTTCATTCACGGTTTGTTCGTCCTCAGCTGAGGGCATGGTTGAGATGATCAGTTCCCGTTCGACGCGAGCAAGGCGCCAGGTTTCTGCAGCAAGTTTCACGATTTTCCGCACGCCTACGAGCAACTGGTCGAGGTGTTTGGGATCCGCGAAGTGGCGTATATGGTCAATGATCTCGTCCACGATGACTGCAGCAACTACATTGATAGCTTGTTTGGCGTCGGACGTCGTGTAGGCGGCCTTGAGTGTCTGTTGTCTCCAGTAAGCCTCGCGCCTCACGGATTTGCGACGGATATCCATGGATAGCATTTGGAAAAAGGTGTCTGCTTTATCGTAGCGTCTGCCGAGAGTGAACAAGAATGGCTGGAAAATCCTATAGGTGAGTGTCTTAGAAATGACATGCTGCACATAGGCAGATCGAAGTTCCCGCGATGCTTGGGTGTTGTCAAGGAACTGGGGGATTTCGGAAGGTATCTTTGCAATGATGTCTGCGGGTGGGTCGATAGGGAGGTAGCCAAAATGTTCTTTCGAGAGGTCAACAATGAGGCGCGTAAGTTGGCCAAAGCATTGAAAGCTAGAACACCAGACGAGACATAATTAGAACTTGTCTATAGAAGAAAGGTGGGGCGCTCTATGAAAAAACAAAACAAACGACAATTTTGCAGTTACGTTTTTTTAAGGCCAACAGATGCTGAAAAAGGGAATGCAAAAATATAACACAAAAACAGATCCGAACCCCAATATGCAAAAAGAAATCTAGATGCCACAGCCTTGCTTCCGTTGGCTAAGCTTGACGGCATACTTACAAGAAGGCGTCCCCTTTAATTTTCATATCGGTTGCCTCTCCGAGACTATGTAGTGTTTTCTTCAACCTTTCACGGTCTTTGCTTAGATTCTCATGAGTCTGCCGCATCTCCTCTACCACATTCCGCAGTTGTTCCTGTTTAGCTTGACCCTCCCTGGCGAGAACCTCCTTCTCTTCCCCAGCCTGTCTTAATTCCTCCATTCGTTGTACCAGCTGAGCCTCCAGGTCCTCGCGTGCCTTTTGCCACGCCTCCTCCTTTTGCTGGTACTCATTTATCAAATTGTTAATCTTTTTCTCGGCTTCTTCCGCTGCGGAGTCACGTTCCTTCTCGTGGGTTTCGTTTAACGCGGCGAGTTCGGCTATATGGCTTTCCCTCAATTGGTCGAGTTCCGCCTGCTTCGCATCGAGTTCCGCTTGCTTCGCTTCCAGATCGGATTGTTTGGATTCGAGTTCGGTCTGCTTGCTGGTTAATTCGCCTTGAACGGTCTCAAGCTCAGAATGCTTTGCTTCTAGATCAGCATTCCTTGCATCCAGTTCCGCATTTTTGGCATCCAACTCGCGCTTTTTCTCCTCAAGCACTTCAAGTTTTTCCTCCAATTCGGATTGCTTCGAGTCAAGCTCACTTTTCTTCGAGTCGAGCTCTTCCTTCGTGGTGGTTAGCTCATCCTGCGTTGTCTCGAGGCCACGCTGCAAAGCGACCAGTTCATCCTGCTTTGCCTCCAGTTCACTTTGTTTCGCTTCCAGCTCCTCTTGTTTAGCTTTCAGTTCCTTGACTTTCTGCTCCAAATCATCTTTTGTGGTTACCAACTCGCCCTGGGTGCTTTCCAATTCTCCTTTCTTTGATTCCAGTTCACCCTGGGTGGTCTCCAATTCTCCTTTCTTTGATTCCAGTTCACCCTGGGTGGTCTCCAATTCTCCTTTCTTTGATTCCAGCTCACCCTGGGTGGTCTCCAATTCTCCTTTCTTTGATTCCAGTTCACCCTGAGTGGTCTCCAATTCTCCTTTCTTTGATTCCAGTTCACCCTGGGTGGTCTCCAATTCTCCTTTCTTTGATTCCAGTTCACCCTGAGTGGTCTCCAATTTTCCTTTTGTAGATTCCAGCTCGCTCCGAGTAGCTTCCAATTCCTCCTTTGTAGTTTCCAATTCTCCCGTCGTGGTTTCTAGCTCGCCCTGTGTAGTTTCTAATTCTGTTTGCCTAGCAGTCAACTCTTCCTGCTTAGAAGTCAACTCCTCTTCTTTAGCAGTCAGAGCCGCTTGTGTCGCGTCCAACTCCGCTTGTTTGGCCTCCAGCTGCTCTTGCTTAGCATCAACTTCTGCTTGTTTGGTGTCGATATCGGCCTGCTTGGACTCTAGCTTGCCCTCGTAATCCGCGGCCATGGCATCCTTTGCTTCCTGAAGTTCCTGCTTTTCAGTCTCCAACTCCGCCTTGAGTTTGTCTCGCTCAACCGTTAGTTCCTGTTCACGAGCCTTGAGTTGCTCAGCAGCGAGCCTGTCATCTTCGTTTTTGATCTCCTGGAAATAGCCTTCCAATTCTTGCTTCTGATTGACGAGTGCCTCCTTCTCTTGCTCCCTCTGCTTTGCCAATTCTTCCTCGTGGGCTTCCTTCTCGTCCTCGATGGCTCGTTGGAGATTATCGATATCCTCCTGAAGATCTTCCCGAAGTTGCGAAAGTTCATCATTCTCCTTTTGGGCATCAGCTAAGCTCTCCTCAATGTCCTTTTGTTTCTCCTGGAGTCCACCAAGCTCGAGCCGAAGTTCGCTAATCCTGCTTTTTAATTTCGAGCATTCCTTCGCGCTCTCGTTGGCTGTTTTTTGCATCTGTGCTTGGAGAGCTTCGATGTAATACTCCTTGCGCATTAGGGATTCCTCATGCTGGGCCTCGATTTGCTTGTGTTCCGCTTCTCGCGCAGACAGCTGAGTTTGCTGGTCTCGATAGCTAATTACCAGTTGGCCGATGTCCGGAATAATGCTTTGGATTCGTGATAGGAGACTGATATTGAGTCCCTCGCCATTAGACGCAGATTTCCCGTTCTCAATCACCGGTGGCTGGACGGGTGCTGGTTCCCGAACAGGGCCATAGTCGTTATTGTAATAAGTATCTGCATATCCCCGACCATATGAGGTTCGGCTACTCCTTCTAGCATGGTGGTATGGGCTATATGGCGAGTCCATCGTGGATGATCGCATAGGGGTATGATAACTTGGGGCGGTAACTGCCATATTGCTAGCCGCGTGGGGGTCGAATGATGCTCCGTTATGTGGCGGTATCATGGGATGTACATACGGGTGCACTACTGGGCTACCGTATGAATAGTGGGGTGAAGAAATAGGTGCTGGCGGATGGCCGTGAAGGTAATGGTGAGCTGCAGCAGGATTAGATCGTGGATTCAGTTCAGATGGTGATGGAGAAGGAAGACGGATTTCCGCTGCTGAAGGTGATGGATGCCTCAGTGGCTGTGGTGGGTCTTCAATCTCTTTATTCGTGTTATTGGGACCATCAAATGGATTGTTGGATAATGTGGCAGCTGGTGTTGCAGGGCCGGGGGATGATAGGGCGCCTGTAGGTGACGGAACTGAACGAACTCGCGGTTCTTTAGGTTCGCTCTTGTTATCTTCGCCGTCGTTACTTTTTGCACCCTCTTTGCTAGTATCTTTGTCTTCCTGGTTGGAGTTGCTATTCTCAACGGGCGTTTGAAGTTCCAAGTTCGAAACCTTTGGAGAAGATATGCTTTCTTTGCTGAAACTTAAGGGGGTAGCTGACGGGGTTGAACCAGCGGAATCTGGCAAAGGTTGAAGACTCTCTATGACAGATGGGGGCGGTAGAGGATGTTGATCGTCCTGAATTTGGGGAGGTTCTTTGGAGTCTGAAGCTGTCTTAGGTTGTTCGGGTTCATAAGGTGCTTCAGCTTCTTTAGGTTCTTCAGGTTCTTGGCGCTCTTGAAGTCCTTGGAGTTGTTCAGGCTCCTGCAGTTCTTCGTACTCTTGAGGCTGTTGAGGAGCTTCTTGTTCTTGAGCTTCTTGAGCTTCTTGAGCTTCTTGAGCTTCTTGAGCTTCTTGGGGCTCTTGGGGCTCTTGGGGCTCTTGGGTTGCTGGAGATCCTTCGGGTTCTTGGGGCTCCTGGGGTTCTTGGGGTTCTTGAGGTTCTTGAAGTTCTTGAAGTTCTTCGATGGGTTGTTTTGTTTCTTCGGGCTGTTGAAATTCCTCAGGCTTTTGAGGTTCGAATTTTGGTGATGGTGGTTGAGATGGCTGAGGTTCTTCAGGTTGATCTTGTTTCTGCGCCTTTCCTTTTTTTCCTTTCTTGCCTTTATTCTCCTTTCCCTTGCGGGCTTTTGCGTTTCCTGGAGCCATGGTGCCGGCGAGAAAAGGTATCAAATACCTTAATATGTCTGCTGTCACCTGATAAAAATCGACGTGGTCCCAGTTAAAGAAAAGTTAAGGATCCTTGTTCGGGATAGAGGAGAAACAGGTTTGGCGAAGTTCACATGTATGACTGGTAAAAATTCGAAAGCATGGTATGCGGCAGTGAGGCAGAAGAGGGCAGTTAAGTGAAGACACGAATCCTTAGTGAAGGTCCTCGATAGGAGACACGCACCAAGGGGGGTGAGTGAGACGAAGGGTAGCAAGGTATAGATGTGAAAGAAAACCGTTCAAATTTGAATGGTTCTATCAGATTGGGCCTGCGAATGGGCATGAACAAAAATAAAAAAAGGTGGTGTACAGCGGAGCAATCAACGATGAAATATGTAGGCGGGGTGAAAACAAAGAAAGCAAGTTGAATCAAAACTGACGTTGGGTGCATAAAAGAAAAGTATTTCTCGAAAGGAGAGTGGAAATGTGGAAGTGTGACCAGAAATAATAAGCTGGTTGAGAGTCGCGCGCCCAACGACTGATATAAGCTTCCAGGGGAGCGGGTTGGACAGCCAACGCTCGAGGAAGACGCAGAAAACCAAATAGGGATGGCTGGTGCATTTTGCCCACGTCAGGATGACTGAAATAAATGAAGGCGCAAGTGGTTCTTTAGAAAACGACTGGCAAGGGGCCAATGGAATGTTGAGTGTAGGCATATTGGGCATCAATTGAAGGTCTTCCCTCATCTGTTTGCCCAGATGTCTACGTTAGTCAGGTAGCAACAGGACCTGCATGCATCGTCGAGAACCGAACACATAGGCAAAATTAGAGGCTGGGGTGGTCCAGAGAATGGGGACTCCTCCCCCCGGTGGACTGAGTGGCGGGCATATGGGGATTGATGACGCTCGGAACGGGCGTGATGAAGCGTATAGACAGACAGCATCTGGCAGCCGGTCAGCGCCCGAGAAAAGAAAAAGCACCGTTTTCGGTCCTCTGCTGCAGCTAGTGGGTGGAGTCCTGGAATGCCCAAGGCGAAGAGGTTGTGAGCTGTGAGTTGTGCGTTGTGAGTTGTGGTCCTGATGCATGAAGAATGGAGCCGCCAGCCCGACGCTAAAGGGTTAGGCGAGGTCCCCAACGGTGGCTAGCCAGTAGATCAACCGCTGCGGGTATGTCAGGGAATTAAATGGTTGTTCCTAGCACAGAGACGACTAGGCAGAAAGGACAGATATGATATCAGCCAGATCACGACAGAAATTGGCCATGGGAAGAAAAGAGAAGAGCAAAGAACCGTGTGCAAAGTGCTGATTGAATATTAAATACAAAGATCAGTCGAGTGATTTTTACCAAGAGCAAGTGTGCATGCAACCCTGACACAAATCCGAACCTTTTACCCAAAAAGAAGCTTGGTGTGAATTATCAACAGAACTGGTAAGGCGATAAGGCGCGCTAAATATAACATACAAGCCAATGTCCAAAAGATATATCAATGGTGTGTTTGCAATATCCATATCATCCAAGGCCCCATAAAGATACGGCCAGTTCCCCATTCCTGGTCACCGCTAGACGGCAAGAGAGCTCTTTTATCACAGAGAATGTGGCCTAGATCCAACACCGTTGTTTTGAATATTTTGAATATCTGTCCGTTTTAGAGATCAAGTATCCACTTGTCGCTGCTGCTGCTCTTTTAGCCGCTAAGTCGTCCCCGTTTACATCTTATCAACCCCTTCGTATATCAAACACGGTGATCGTTACTCTCCCGCAGCTCTACTAATAATCCCTCTGTCTAGCCCACTTAAACCTCATTAGTCTGTATGACAGTAGCAATCGAATCCCAACTCAAGGAAGTGTACTATGGAACTAGTACGGAGTACACTCCAGAATGTTTATTAACCAGCATATTAGCAGACAGAAGCCCCAGTAAATAATGTAAGTCACTTCGAAAGTACGGCTCAGGGTGAGTTCAATGACGAGTGTTTATGAGTGTTTTCGAATGATGCTGAGACGCGAAGTCGCCTTGGTTGGACTGCATGTCCGTTGGAAATCCAGCTCCATTTTATCCCGAGCTAGACTGATTCATAGCGCGAGGAACCCCTCAGGATGCGGTTTAGAAATTAACAGCAGGCACATGGTGGGGCTATCTCTGCTTTCCTTTCTCTAGTGGGGCCGTCGAAGGCACGACCGATATATCCTTTTCAAGGGTGTAATATAAAATTATATCCGTATGGAACCATGAGCAAGTCTGAGTGATGCCATGTTCGGATTTTTTTTTTTTAGGTAGACATTTGAATCACCTTGCTTGACGGCAATGTATCTGCGAGTAGAGATACAATTTGCCACCTAGATTGCTCAGTAGCCGCTAGAACATAGCTTGTATGCTATGGTAACAACGATATCAATTATCAATAAGCACCAGGTAGAAATTAGATAATGCTGTTCAAATCTTCCCAGCTATGGAGAATGCAGATTGACTATCAGGGCTGAGACCGCCGCCTTTAGGCGTTGGGGGATGCTCCTTACCAGCCACTCTGCTAAACAACCTCGGACGGATTCAAAATTCGAGCTGTAAAGACGAAAAGGCGATGCGACTGGCAGCGCTTGCCAGTAAATAGTGAGACACTGGCTCGAGACCCCTAGTCGACAACAGCCGCCTCACCATTAGACCCTGACTCCTAACAACGGTGAGGGAGTGTAGAAGAGAGCACGGAAGCTCGAGATGTCCAAGGCGGTGGGCGATCCGCTAATTCTCCCATTCGCCCAAACAGCAACCACAAGCTTCGATGAATCCCGTGCCTGCCGACGACCAGCTCGTCCAGTTCAGAAATAAAGTGTGCTCGCCCTCCGAAGCCGACAGGCTTGACGACGGGCTGCGATGTGAACGTGGCTGGTGAATTCAGATCAGCTACCTAGATCGGCGCCGGGCAGTGGTTACTGTAGAAACAGCATCTCACGTCACCATTTTTCAGGGCTTGTCATCAGGTTGTATATTGGATACTGTGGAGCCATGCTAACATAGCGAAGCGAAAGGAACCATGTTGTTTCTCATTCGAGAGTGAAGCAAAATTGGAGCGAATTTGTCGCTGGTTGGATTTGTTGTCTCGCATCACTTTCTGTTTAACCCTAGTCCTAATCTGGCTGCCTTGTCACATGATCGTCTCTCACCTACCTGACTTCTGCTTCACCAACGACAAGCCCGCAATAAGCTGGAGCCCATAGACATCAACATCTTTTCCTCGACGCATTGCGGTTTACGAGGCCCAATTGTCGAATCCCAGCCACAATGTTTCCCGCTCGGAGAGCAGCTGTTCCTGCTCGTGCCCTCCTCCGCCGCCAGCAGCCTCGCCGCCTAGCCTCCGCATCCCACCATGCCGAGCCCGTGAACGAGAACTTTGGTGTAAGTAACCAACCACGCATCCCTCACCAGCCCCCGTTGTATCTACGCGGTTCTAGACAGGGTCGCACGTACGGAGATAGATATCACGGATTGGAACAATGGAATCAGGCCACCAATTGGCACCGTCCATGTCTACATTGAACGATATAAAACCATACTATGCTACGTTCTTGTCCGCTTTCAAAACATGATGCATATACGCATGCGCTGGAATCCACAGGCTAACATATTTCTTCTTCATCCATCTTGCAGCGCGGTTTTTACATATTCCTCGTATCCGTTCCTATAGGCTTAACCCTGTACAACTACTCCACATCCGATCCCAACAGCAAGCCATGGATGACCCGCCTGATTGAAAACTACTTCCCCAAGGAGAGCATGTGGGAGCAGCGGAACGCCCTTCATACAGCCGCGATCGAGCGAGCTGCCGCTGATCGACATCTATTCCACAGCCAGAGCGCCTCCCTAAACCTGGAGCTGAGCTTTCCTGAGTGCGTCATTTGTTGTCCTCCCTAGAAAACCCTTGAATCTAGCTATCCCGCTCATTGTTTCAGGCTTAAGAAACCAAGCTAACCAAAATGCTAATTCTCTTGGTGAATAGAGCTTTCAACACCGGGGGGTGCATGAATGTACCTGCAGGTAACGCCCACGCGGATCTCACAGCAATTGTCGCCCATTATCAGGCGAAAAATAAGAAGATTGAAGAGGAACGTGTTGCTCGAATGAAGGATGGGAAAGTGGCCTCTATCTATGAAGATGGTCGATACTTCTAATCCAATAAAGTTGACAATAAAGTTGATTTACCTAAAAAGAAAAACAAAGAAGTAAAAGAAGTAAAGACGGGGCTGGAGTTCTCGATTTTTTATTCTTTTCTGACCCGCTCCCTGCATTTGTTTCCTCAGCTATTTTCCTCCCACTAGGTTTTATTTGTTATTCCGTTACCTCCCATTTTTTTGTATATATGTATATATATCATGCAACCATTAGCATAATCCCGAGATGTGCAGGTGCTCGATGCGTGACGTGAAATGGGTGACCCTCGTTCAGCATCTCGACCCCTGTCCAGAGCATACCATCCAACGAAACCAACATTCGTGTCCTTCCTAAAGCGTTACTCCGTTGATGGGGTTGATCAAAGGACCTAAGAATGCTCTTTCGTACCCTCCTCCTATTATACGAAAATAATGGTGCTGCATGCACACCTCTCGAGCCGTTGTACGGCAACACCAGCCTATCCATACCCTTGTTATTTTCCTTTCTATTCTATACGCTTTGTGCTATGTGCTCCGGGGGAAAAAAATAGAAAAAAAAGAAAAATATAATAGAAAGAATCTTTAAAGGGAATCAACTCTAACATCATCCAATAGCCGCTAGCTCATTACGCTGTAATAATCCATCAACTCACCTAACGCGTGGTCCTACAACTCCCCCCCCCCCCCCCCAGAAGCAAAGTTTCGATGTATGGTTTTAGCAAGGGTCGACATCCCATCATCCAAGATTCAAACAACACACCGACGGTAACTATAGATTTAATTCATCTCTTGCCTTGTGTACTTTTCCTAGCTCGTCATTTATCATTTATCAAGATGAATATCCGGGCACACCTAACAAACTAAACTTAAAAAAATAATTCCCACAGAATATAAATCCCTGAACTTCACAGTCTACCACATACGACCATAGGGAGTGGAAAGCAGGGCTTCCCGTCTGCTCAGCCGTACTTAAGCCACTCGCCGGCCGGTTAGTAGTTGGGTGGGTGACCACCAGCGAATCCCGGCTGTTGTATGTTTTTTTCACCAACTTTTTGCACCCCCAAACCCAACCCTAGCTCTCCTCATACTATACTATTACCTCCAACACCAGCCTCCCAACCCCCTCATTCCTAATCTCAGCCCTCTCCTTCACAGAAAAACCATCATCATCATCACTAACCCTGCCCTTACTGCGCCCGACATCCCGCATTACATTCAAAAACTCGTCAACCCCACCCCCAACGCCGAAATATACCTCCTTGGCGGCAATTAGAGCTTTGGAATTGTATTTAGGTAGCGGAGTCTTATTCGTAACTCCAGCGGACCCTGCTGCAGGGTCAAGGGGAAGAGCAGATGTAGATGTACCTGTGAATGTGACGCCGAACCGGCCACCGCGTCGGAGGAGCGCCAGTAATGTTTCTGAAAAGGGGAGTAGGGAGGCAGGGGAGTAGATTGTTTCGCTAGCGAGGACGAGGAGATTTGTTCGCCTTGGTTGCGATGATGGTGATGATGGTGATGATGAGGGCGATGACTGCAAACGGTTCGGTAAAGCTAAGTCGACAAAGGCAGGTGACCAGGCGCCTGATATGAATGATAAACAAATTCCGCGGGCGTGTAGGTCTTCACGGAACGCAGAGAGGAGAGCTGGCTCGATGTCTAGGTCAGGTTGTTCGTCATCGTCCGCACGACCACCATCCCACCGATTGCGATTAAGGTTATGTTCGGCATCGGTTCCGTGATCGATGTTAGGAGGGATATTCCCCTCCGGTTGTTGTTGTTGTTGTCGTTGTCGTTGTTGCGAGTGGTCGAGATGATGGCGGCGGCAAGTTTGCCATGTAAGGAGTATATTCGGCACGGTGACTAGTCGTAGCACGGCAGCATTGTAATCCGCAAACACGAAACGGATTATCCTCCGAGGCAGGCTCCGTGGGACAGGTCGTGAAAGGAGATGATGTAAAATCGCAAGGGACGGTATGGCAGTTCCTGCTCCGAGCTATTATCGCAGGATCCGTATCCGCCACCGGGATATTCCATGCGTTAGAGCAAGACACCCAATACTTAAAATATATATATATATATCTATATAACTTGTTGGGCTAGGTTGAGGATGAGTTGAGTTAAAAGAGGATTTAGCCTTCTCACCTCTATGATATCAATATCTTCACTCCCCCCCTCCGCCGTATCCGATAGGAGGGAAGGTATTTCCTCAGCGGCCACCAACTTAGCCAGATCAATAGCACACTCCCACGTCTTCAAGCCGCCTTCGTAAACAGTCGGTTTTAGATCACCCTTTTCCAGGCCAGATATCAACTCTGCATTTTCGTTGGTATCTGCATCATCTTCTGCCATCAACTGGGCGCGAATGTCAAAGACTTCGCGCCGAGGGATAGTGAGGCTTGGACCCTCGGATGATGGTGATTGGGGATTTATTGGGAGCATGTTGTATGATATTTGGGACGGGAGTGTGGAAAGCTATTTGTAGGTGAGCTCAAATTAGCATCATGTATATTTTTTTTTTAGCTATAGAATCAATCAGTTAGAGGAAATATATTCCGTAAATCTTGATCGAAAGGGTCGCATTCTAGCATTTCGCCTTCGCCAATCTGGCAATCGTCGCTCAAATCAAATCACCACCTGATTCCAAGTCAAGAGGGACGGAGGATATGTAGCAGAATTCGAATGCTAAAAGGGACCCCCGTTGCGATAAAACAGCAACAATATTTTGAGGAAGCGAAACCAAAAGAGGGACATCCCATCACGAAATCCATCTTCCAGCATAAGAAAAAGCCGAATATGCTTCCAATCATATGCATTCAGAGCTCCAGAAGTAGAGCTGACATGCACAGCTCACCCCATGCAGCAGGGCATCCAGCGAGCACCAAATGGCGACCATAAACATTGATATTCCCAACCATGCGATTTAAACTCGCTCCACCAATCAATTCCCATGAACGGGGGGGGTAGACAAGCCAGCAGAGCCTCGGGGCATTAGAACTTCCCAAGACACTCTCCCCTTTAGGGAGTGTGAAAGAAACTCCAGCGTACCAACACGGCCAAAACAAAAGTACAAAGCACAGAAACATGCACAAATCTTGAAGGGAGATAAGATAAAGTAGAAAATAAAAAATATATAAAAAATATAAAAAAATATAAAACATACCATCTCATCAAGATCGCAATAGCTCGCCTCAACCAGGACGCTTTCTTCCCCCTCCGCCCCCTCTCCTCCAGTTTTCGTCCCCGCTATGTCCAGCTGGCGAATACCAGCATCGATGCCAGTATCATCAGGACCTTGATCATTCTCCGTATCCCGGTCGTCAATGTCGTCCCCTCCAAAGCCAAATGTGAAAGTGGACATTTGGAGAGACGCGTTCCCTAGATCTTTGTGTCTCGTTTTGTTCAGAGAAAACGGACGTTTCTGGATATTCGCGCTCTCAATTTCACCGGATATATTTCTAGGTGTTGTTGGAGCAGGTCCAAAAATGGCCTTAATTATGTGTGATAAAAAAAAAAAAGGGGTGGTATTTTTTGAATTAATAAAACTAAAGGAAATTCAAAGAAATTCACAATGAGAGCTCAGGAAGTCTGAATACTATCATCCAGCTATACAAAATCCGTATCTTAACATACATACCATACGCGGTCATAATAATTATTAATGTTCAAATATCGCGGCGGGGGAAAATTTTCCCTTTTCTAACTAGTTAAGTTAGTTACCGAACACGCACATCTTGGCTTGGAGCCACGCCGGCGGAAACCACGAGCTCTTTTACCTCTCTCTGTAAGCGGACGGGGCTGGATGTTTGTTTAGTTGGAGGGCGGAGAGAACAAGAGAAGACAAGTATCAGGTAAAAAATTCATTGAGTCAGCCCTCTAGTTACTTCAGAAGTTCGTACTGACCGAGCAACCATGGCTAGATATCTCCGAAGAAGAGGCACTATTACGCCATTTCTGCCCAGTAATTCCATGTTTTGATAACAACCACTATCTCTATGAAAAGCTCCGATTTAGCTATGTTATAAACTCACCAGCTCATTTTACTCATTTAAATTGCCTACCGGTTTGTGATATTTCATGCTTCTAACATGTTAATAAAAAATGATAATTGCGAGGGAAATAATAAGAATATAAAATATACGCTTTCATCTGGTTACTGCCTCTATTTTTTTCTAAAGGAAGGAAAAGGATGTCAGAATTAGATAGAAAGTATGTTGACCAAAAAAATATGTTGATGGGTGGTAGATGGTCCCTATATTTATTCTCTCTCTCTGTCTCTCTCTCTTTTTTTTTTTTTTTTTTTTTTTTTTTTTTTTTTTTTTTCTTTTTTTTCCCCCTCAACCAACAAAACCAGACCTCCGGTAAATGTTCAAACGAGAAAATAATCATCCCGTATATAAAAACGTGGATAACAAAGACAAGAAAAGATTCTATAAGCATGACTGAAAAATCTGAGAGTTGAAAAAAAAAGGGGGCATTTCTTCATAACTCAGCCTAACAGCAGAGCCAGCCATAGCAGGCACCACAACCACACCACACAGTATGAAAAGGATTAGCAGAAAAAAAAAAGGGAAAAGAAAAAGAAAAAAAAAAAAACATCATCATCAGAAAAACGAAAAGTACAAAAGGAAAGAAAAAAAAAACCAGGACCGCTCACGCCCGTCCATTCGCCGCGGCCCCATTCCCATTAATCTTCGGCCCAACAACAGCCTTCTCAAGCGCCTGCATCACATCCGCCAACAAATCCGCACTATCCTCAATCCCACAGCTAACCCGCACAAGATCATCAAACACCCCCGCCGCCTCCCTCTGTTCCTTCGGGATGCCCGCATGCGTCATGCCGCCGGGCACCTCGACAAGCGACTCCACACCACCCAAGCTCTCCGCCAGCACAAACACCTTGGTCTCCTGGCAGAAGCGCTCAGCGGCCGCCACGCCGCCCTTGATGCGGAAGCTGAGCATACCGCCGCCCATACCGTCGCGGTGTTGCTTGAGGGCGATCTCGCGGTGCGGGTGCGACTTGATGCCTGGGTAGTTGACGGCGATGACGTGCGGGGAGGCTTCGAGGGCGGTGGCGATAATGGTGGCGTTTTTGGAGGCTTCGCGGGCGCGCAGGTGAAGGGTTTTCAGGCCGCGGTGGGCGAGCCAGCAGTCGAAGGGGGAGGGCACGGCACCGATGGCGTTTTGGAGGAATGAGAGGCGTTCGTGGAGTTGGGTGGAGTTGAAGGCGGCTACGCCCATGAGCACGTCCTGGGGAGGGGTGTTAGCGATTGTTTTATTTATTTATTTATTTTTTGTCATCTTTTTTTTTCCCCCGGAACGAGAGGACTGATAAAGTAAAATTTTCAAAGGTATTTCTACTTACAGAGTGGCCATTGATGTATTTGGTGACTGAGTGGATGACGATATCCGCACCGTGGTCGAGAGGGTTCTGGATATAGGGGCTGAGGAAGGTATTGTCGACAACAACCATGATACCGTGCTGGTGGGCAACGCTGGCTACTTTTCTGATATCGACGAGGCCGAGGGTAGGGTTCGAGGGGCTTTCGATCCAGACCAGCTTGGTGTCATTGGGGCGGATCAGCTCTGCGATGTCGATTTCGATGCTGGGGGAGAATGTAACATGCACCCCGTGGGCTGCAGCGACCTTGGTGAAGTATCGGTGGGTTCCACCGTATACATCAGAGACTGATATGACGTGGGATCCAGCCGCGAGGGATTGGAGGATGACGGCTGTGGTTGCAGAGCCAGACGAGAAGGCCAATGTATATCGGGCGTGCTCGAGGGCTGCTACGGCTTCCTCGAAGTGATCTCTATTTTTTACCAGCGGGGAGGGGAATTGTCAGCGCGCTCGCTTGAAGCAATGGATATATATAGAAGGAAATTGGGGGCAAACCAGAGGTTGTACGGACCTGTTTGGGTTTGCGCTTCTTGTGTACTCGTATTGTCCCATGGGCTTTCCGACGCCAACTTGGGCAAATGTCGTAGAAAGGGAGATCTGGGAGTGAAGTGAAGCCGTTAGTTTCACAGCCTGGCCTATGAAGCCAGTAGAGGCGGGGGGGGGGGGGGGGGGAACTTGTCTCTTACTGGAGCAATCACAGCGCCAGTTGTAGGGTCTACATGCGCACCGGCATGCACAGCCAATGTGCCGAATTGATGAACGGGGGAGGGAGCCCGTGGAGGGGTTTCAATGGGAGCTTCATCGCGCTCGGAAATTGTGCTTGATTTGATACCGCTCGTCATGGTCGCTGTCTGTGAACTGTGCACGCGGAATCGACAAACAAAGGGAATTAAGCAGCAAGACGAGACGAGGAAATAATTGAGCGGGGAGAACGAAGGCTGGCTGGTATTATTTAACTATTTGGCGGCAATCGGGAGCTAAGAGAAGAGGGGGAAGCGGAGAGGGTTGCACCGGAGACAGGACAGGAGAGATAGATGGGCGGAATTGGTCTGAATAACTGCGGGTTGCTGATGGATCAAGTGGGAGAGGATAAGGAATAAGTTCTATGGGATGAAGATGATGTTTCTTTATATAAGAAGAATAATGCTACAAAACAAACGATGAGGGGCGACGACGAAGGAACCAGGCCATTATGATTATTGTCAATAACTAACTAACTAATTTGTTTATTATTAATGTTACGGGCACGCCATTCGCCCGCGGCAAACGACGAGAATGCTCTACGCAACGGTCCACGGATGGTCTGTTTTCTAGCTTTCGGCTATTTATGGTTATATATTTGTAAATATTATACATTAATTTTATTAGTTAACTACGGAGTATTGTTGTCCATTAACTATTTATTATTACGATCGCAAGAATTTCCCCTCAACTTCTTCCTTTGTCCCTGCGTATTCCAACCGGCGATGGACTCCAATGAGCGTGCTGCAGCAACCTGTCTGGCATTTGTGATTTCTGTATCGGATTCCCCGATTCCCCTCGAAGGCAACCCTTGGGTACTCGCGGGTTTCAGTGGTTTCTTTAGTTCGGGATTTTCTTTTTTTTTTCTTTTTTTCCCTTTTGTATAGTTAACTAGTTAACTAATTACTAATAAAGTTGATGCGACAATGATGTCATAGTTATTTATCATCAGGTTTGTTGTTGTTGGCATTAAAAGGCATTTCATTCATTGAAAGGTTTGTCATTCTGATGTTGTAGAAGACTTGGTAGTCCCAGCTGACGAGAACAGGGCTTGATATTGATATCTGTGCAATCTCGCATGTAGTTACAAGATGATAATATGTAGTTACTGAGTAGTTGCTGGTTGGATTAACAGTGCTGACCGCCGTATGAGCTCTGTATGTAGTGCAGACTCCTGGCCACGGAATTACACGCTCCCTAACTCCGTCAATGTGGTGGACTTTGGCGGAGTTAGTCAATCCTGTTATATATATATATATATATATACAGACAATGCCGTGATCAGAGGGATAGATGAAGGGTTTGAAGCCGTCATACAATAAGATCCAGGCATAATTAAGATATCTCTCAAACCCTCCATCCACTCCTCCTCGCCATGCCACCCACCAACATCCTCCTAATCGGCGCTGGCGAACTGGGCACCGCCGTCCTGCACTCCCTCATCCACCACCCCACCCGCACCAATAACAAACCCTCCCTCTCCCTCCTCCTCCGCCCAAGCAGCATCGCATCCCCAAAACAACCCCCCTGTCTCTTCTAAGTCTAAACTGAATTCTTTCTTCTTCAACTTTTGAATTCAAGCTGGAGTAGAGACATCTCTCTTCTATAACTCATCAATGCATTTCACAAGTAGTTGAGTTGAAAGATTGTAGACTGTCTTGTTCTTAGTCAATTCGATAATTGTATGATATGAACATGAGAAGCTCACGATCCTCAGCGGTAGTCTCTTAGAAGATCTGAGATCTCTTTCATC